GAGATATGTTTACCATATGCAAGTTTTATAAATAATTTCCAGAATTTTATTAAAGTTTTAATGACATATGAATGCCACATAAATGGATGCTTTTCAGAAAATATAGGCATAGTTCTGCTTTGGACATTAAAACCCTTCTGTCACTTATAGAGCCAAGTTATGGAAGCACCTGTCTACAATGATGTGGTAGGGCCATCGTTTAAAAAAAAAAGTCAATTTCCAATAAAAATCTATTTCTAAAAAAAAAAAATTCTTAATTTGAAAAGTCAAATTTGGTAGAAACTACTCGTATTTTTGACTTTTCAAACTCAAATTCCTTTGTTCTAGAAATTTTCTGAGATTCTCAAAATTGCAGATTTTTTTTCTAGTAATTTTTCAACTTTTGAAACTCATAAATATAATTTTTTTTTTTTTTCAAGATTTTAACTGGAATTTGCTCCTCGTTTTTTCTATTTACTGGCCCCTAATACGTCATGATTTCAGTTCCTTTATTTTTCAAGGAAGGGTAAAAAAAAAAAAAGACAATAGCGTTTGGGGCGTGAGATGCGAGAGTGAGATTTACTAAATGAAAACAATATGTGGGCTACGGTAGCTCGGATGGGTCAAGACAAGATTCCCAGTGGAATCTGAGCATTTCTAACTTTATTTGAGCAAGCATTTTCATGCGTTTTTAGAAACTGTATTGTTAGCAACAAGGCAGCTTAGAAAAATGTAAATCACAGCCGGTTATAAATATAAATACCGATCAATCACTGTAAGCGCTCCTTAACCATCTGCCGGTGGAGGACTCGGACAGAACTGCTGACAAGACGGAGTGGGAGGAGTTTTTTGTTGTTTCGGAGGATCTGGTTTCAAAATATGTAGAATTATACACGCCCACTTCTGTGCAGATAACTATTAAATAAATAGCATTGGATTCTGAAAGTAAATTCGTCCGACCATGGCAGTTGTAAAAGAGATAGAGGGGGTATATCAAAAAGGGATAATCGAGGTGAAAATGTATTTCACCTGAATCTAAATCTAAGATGGTCGTATATAAAAACCTGTAACTATTAAATAAGCCATATTAAAGGACAAAAATATTTTGATACTGAATAATGCCTGGAAGATGTCTTTCCTTCACACATTTAATCAAAGTAAACTTTTTTTAAGTAAGTAAGGCAATATAGTTCATAGGGGAAAGGTATATCTTTTTCTGAATGGCTAAAACATAAATAAATCATTTAATCTCTGCTACTCAATTAATGTACTGCTATAAAGATGCATAAATCATAAAACCAACAACAATAATATATGGTATGTAATTCATCATAACATGCTGATTAATTGACTTTAATAACTTATAAATCTGAAAGAAGATACTCAGGCTAACCCCGCCCACCCGGTACACCGGCACACAAAATGGTGCGCACCTTTGCAACGTATGACATCTTACGTTGCATAGCTAATCGCGTCACCTTCCCTGGTACTTCTGGCTTCCTAGAAATACTGAACTAGAGCTGGACATCTATGGACAACATCGTTTATGTCCAGATATTTTAGACCAGAGTCTGTCCTCTTCAAGTGAAGCTTGAATCTTTGGTATTCGGTGAGTTTCCGCGTCTGTTGTCGGTTGACCGCCACACCTTTACTAACTCTGTTCATTGCTAGTCAGGACATTGTGGTTATTTCTTGTCTGAACTGAGGTAATTTTCTCGGGATTCAAATGCAAAGTGGTTCTGATGTGAAGCACTGGACAAATCTAAAACTTTGTTGTGTGTTTGAGAATCTTGTTTGAGTCCCGATATAATTTCTATGCTTGCAGAAAGTCAACTTTTAAAGATATTGGTTATATAATCTAGACCCTAATTTATTTAGTACGCTTCATTTTATTTCGTTGTATTATTATAATTCTTTTTCAGGCTTAAATTAATAATTTATTGCTCAACATGTCAACTGTTTGTTCAGTCAGCAGAAATATGGAGGAGGAGTGGCTCCATTCACCTTTGACCTCTTTAAACACATTGGATTTCTTGTTATCGACCAACACAAAGTAATGGAAATTTGTGAGGAAGGAAACACTCGACTCATTAATCGGAAACAAAAAATAAAACCCTAAAACATAATGCATACCAAACAAGAAATATAAACATTCAAATTTAAGAAACTAAGGAAAAATATGGAATAAAGTTGCAGTAAACAATGTTTTCAGAAACAATACTTTACATCATCTTATAATGTTATTCACTCATCAAAAACGTACCTGGAGTGTTGCTTTAATTTTCCATGCCTGTTTGAGAAATCCTTTAATCGCCATGGCAACCATTCAGCTGGGTGAACCTAGCCACCCAGGCTAAGTTTCTTCCTCCTCACAAAGCAGCAAGTCTCCCACTCAGCTCCTTCAGACTAGCCAGCAGCAATTAGCAAAAACCTGGTGGAACTGCTGAGCTTGTTATAGGAGCCGCTTCTCAGTGAAACGCTGGTAAAAACACGGCTAAAGGTTAATAATAGAGAAGCCATGCTGTGATTTCTTCCTGAAAGTGGAGAGTCGGAGCAGGAGTTTTTAAAGAGACAGAGGCCCAATTTCAAGGTATTGAATAACAAAGTAAAATTTATTTTAAACCATATTAGTTACTTGATTGTGTTATAAATTGGTGCTATTTGCCTGGAAAAAACATAACACTGCCCCTTTAAGAAGGTTGTGGGTAGAATATCAAGTCTGCAGGAAGAAGAGTTTAATTGATTGATGAAATTTAGATATTTCTTCCTAATTTGTTATGTTTGGATCAATATTGGATTTGGTGCTGATGTTCAGATTATCCCTCTCGTTTTTGAAAACATTTTTTCTGGAAAGAAGTCAGAAAGGCCCTGATGGAGTGAAGTTCAGATGCTACAGTCACAGGAACGTTTATCAACCTGTTAACTGTGGCAAACAAGGCGTGAACATTGATTTCTGCTGGTATTTGATGTGAAGTAATTATAAAATGCAGCAATGTTTGTAGAAGTAAGAGCATGTGAATGCTTTACTCTGTGTCTGTCTGCAGAAATGAAGGCGCTGACCCTGCAGCAGGTGAATGCGGCTTCAGGAAGTCAGACCTCCAACTACTGCCCCCCTTGTTTGGAGAATAAAATTTTATCCCAGGTGTCAACGATGACATCCGGGTCGTCGCTGTTTCATCCTTCTTCCCTTCCATCTCTTCAGCCAACCAGCCTGTCCTCCACCTCTTCTTCTTCTCTGCTCTCCTCCTCTTCCTCCACCAGTTCTCCTCTCCTCAGCACCCAGAACAAACTCCTCTCCTCCGGGACTCAGAGTCGTACCTCCTCCTTCACCTCCACTGTCGCCTCCAACGCTCTGGTTTCCTCACCGCTGACCGGGGATTCTCTGCTGAACCGCTTCGCTGATCCTCCTTCATTCCTGAAGCAAGATGGAGAAAAGAAAAATTATGCAGAAGAAGAAAAAGAGGAAATATCAGAAGAAATGCAGTCGTCTTTTGAAGAAACAAGTGTGGTACAGAAAAAAACTATATTTCTCACTTATGCTGACTGTACTATAAATCAGCCTAATGATTTGTGTTTTAGGTCACTTACATTATTTATAATTTCAGAATTATAAAGGAGAAAAATATATATAATTTTTAAAAATTGTTTTCTTTTATTGTTCACATACATTTTCTTTAGTTGTAGGCAGAATTGCCTTTTGAACTGAATGACTTCACTGCAAAAAACACAAATCTTACCAACTGTTTGGTATATTTTTTAGTGCAAACATCTGAGTTCACTTGAAATAAGATAAAATTAATTTACAAGTAACTTTTCAGCAAGAAATAGAGGCTTGTTGTAAGTCAATAATTTCTTAATATTGATGGGAAAAGTACTAGTAGTAGATTATTTCTCTTATAACATAGTAAAAAGGTTTTGTTTTTAGTTTAAATAATCTAAAAACAGATTATTTAATCTATACTTTTAGATTAAATAATCTAAAACAGATTAGATTATTCAATCTAATACTTTTTCCTTTGTCTTTAAATATAATTTAATTAACTTAAAACCAGTTCTTGAAGACATTGTAATCTTTGCAAAAACCTCTACCTTGTTGAAACTAATAAAACAATCTCTTTATTCTAGCCTTTATCAACTTGAACCAATCTCAATAATCTTAACTGATTTCAATCAGGAAAAGTTTAGCCCGATTATAATCAGTGAGAAAAACTTGTTCTTTCCATGAAATGTTTGTAAATATCTTGTTTAACCAAAAATGTGCCCTGAAGCTGCTCTGAATGCTTTGATGTCTTAATATGACTGTGTTTCATCAGCAGCTGGATGAAGACATCATGTTGTCTGAGGAGGAAAACGATGAAGAGGTCGCCATGGAGACGCCAGTCGTAGAAATGGACATAATCAACCAGAAACCTGATGACTCCGTCGCCGTCAGACAGGAAGAGTTTCCAGAACTGGACAGAGGAAATAAAAGCACTTTAGAAAAGCTGGAAGATAAAAAGGTCTTATTTTTAATCTACTGTAAGAACAAAAATGAAGTTGTCACCTTTGACCCCTGGGTGCTGATTCGTGTCTGTGTCGTTCAGTACCTCCTGCTGAACGCCGTCTGCTGCTCTCTGGTCAATAAGAGCAAACCGCCAGGCCAGGCGGGCTGGAACTCGGAGGACAGCGTTTGGACCAAAATCACTCAGCTGGCCAAAGACGTTTCTGACCGAGACCCAGAGTTCCTTCTTAAGGTCGGCCTGTGTACAGTTCGACTTTATAGCCCGTTAAAGGAGACATATTCTGGTTATTTGAAGAGGTTAGGACAGGTGGGTGGGTGATACGAAACATGTTTAATACATTTTTGCTCAACATCGTTCTTGGATAATGGTATTTAGTCTGCTCAGTTTTGCCTATTTTGGGCTTTTTTAGGGGCTCTTGTCACTTTAAATCCAAATAAGCTGCCCAACATTTACACTCACATGTGAAAATGGCTGCAAACAATCCTCAATTATACAACTGCACACCTTTGGAAAGCAGAAGTGGAACCTCTTGCACAACCAGTAAGAATGAAACCTGCTGACCAAATGTGCTGGTGGTCTTCCTGGGTTGCTAGGTAACGTGTTGGGGTTGCTAGGTAACGTGCTCAGTGCCCATTGAATGTGACTCAACACATTTTTGAAATGCTCATTTTCCATAACCAAAAACAATTTATTTTTTTCTAAAAAAAAAAAAAAAAAAGCTGGGTGTTTTTTTTTTCCGTTTAGTTTTTAGACGTAGTTGAAACCCAAATAAAAGTATAAAAACATGCAAAATTAAAATTTTGCATAATAGGTCTCCTTTAACATCAAAGGCTAACCTGATTGCCTCAAAATAATGATTGTAAATGCCATTACAAGGATTATAGGATTAATGTCATCACATCAATCTGTGTGTTTCCTCTTCGTTTCCTGTCCAGGTTGCTGTTTACACCAGACAAGAATTAAACATCAGGATCACCACAAACTTTTTATTGGCTCTGGCTGCCAATCTGGCCCCCACCAAGCCGCACGTCCGCAGATATTTCTGCGCTGCCGTGCAGCTGCCCTCCGATTGGCTGGAAATAGTCAGAATCTATTCTACAGTAAGTCTGACTCAGCATGAGTTTCTCCATCCAGCCTCCACGTCTTTATTTCTACGTAAACAAACTGATTATTTTCTTCCAGTGCTTCACCCAGTGCCTTCCGACGTGTCTGAAGAAAGGGATGGTCGACAAGTTCAAGCAGTTCAGCGAGTACCAGCTGGCCAAGTACAACACGCGCAAACACCGCTGCAAACACAGCCGGAAGAAACCGAAAGGAAAGGTGGGAAACTTACTGGGAGAGAACTGTATGTCATGATGGATGTAGTGAGTGCTGCTAGTTAAAATCTGTGCAAAATCCTATTCTACACTAAAGGTGACCAATTGTGCTTCCTTGAACAGGTTGGGATAGATTTATGGGCATTACAAAACATATTTATTGCATTTTTTATGCAATATTCTTAGATGATGAGATTTCAGTCTGGTCAGTCCTGCCTATTTTGAGCTGTTTTAGGGACTCTGTCACTTTAAATTCAAATAAGCTACTGCTGGCCACGAATTCCGCTGGGGTTGCCAGGTAACGAGCTGGACTCTGCTGGGGTTGCCAGGTAACGAGCTGGACTCTGCTGGGGTTGCTAGGTAACGACACAGTGCCTGTCATGACTTAACAACCAGGAGGTTTTTGAAACGGCTCACTTTCCAAATACCAAAAAACTTTAACTTATTGTTTGTTTGTTTGTTTTTATTTTTTCAAACTTCTTGGACTGTTTTTAGAAGCAGTTCAGATCGAAATGGAGGTGTAAAATGTGCAAAAATGTTAATTTTTCATAATAGGCCTCCTTTAATGGAGTTGACTTGTGTCTGTAACTCATCTCTGGATTTTCCTCCTCTGGTTCATCTCTCTATTTTCAGTATCTTGTCCGATTGTTTTGCAGGAACCATCCAAATCAGAGCTCGAACGATGGGCCAAATTTCTCAAATCTGATCCAGAAATTCTGAAGAAGTTCGTAAGTTACTACTTTGTTTATTTTTCACTTTACCTGCAGGCTTTAATAATCTTCTGTTTTTCTGTCCAATCACAGGTGGAAAATAAAATAAAATCTCTGCAGTCTATCATTAATTGCTGCAGTTCAAACACTAACAGGCTTTTTTATTTTTGCTCAGTTCCAGTTGAAGGGCAGCAGAGAGGTGGTGGACAAAAAACAGAGCGAGTTCAGCATAAAGAAGCTGATCAAGAAGCTTCACATTAAAGAACCTGCTGAATTTGTTATGGCCATCCTGGGGAAAAAGTAAGACGTACCCATCCTGATGGTGGAGACTGACATCCAGAGACAGTTGCATTGCTGAGTTCATTCAATTTTGGAGTAGATGTATGAGCCAGATAACTTCAAGTTTGCTCTGGAATCACAAGAAACCTTAGAGGGTCCTCTCAGACTCCTAGTTTGCATGTTTAATGTTTAAATTACTAATTATAAATTTAAGCAATGTTATTAGTTTGGCTTGTCTAGAAGATATAAAGGAGAAATCTTGTCTTTTAAAGAAAGAGGAAACTTTAGTTTGCAGAATTTCTTCTGACATTTGACCAAGTGTGAAGCACGGTGGTGTAGGTGTGGTGATGTGGGCTTCCATAAGATCCAGCTGGCAGACGGGCATTTTGCCTTTTTTAAGGTGAAATGTTTAAAATAGTTTTTGAGATTAGCAGAAAACCGTCTTAAAGTCTCTGTGTCTGACTTTCTGCAGGTACCCCGGCGATGCGAAGGCGTTCAGGCGCAGTGGAATAAAAGGCGTGTGGGAGCCGGACAGAGCCGGGCAGCGCATGAAGCTCAAAGAACCGCAGACGTGGGAACGGCTGATCAGTCTGGAGGGCAACAAGGCCGCTACCTGGCAGAAGCTCATAGGTCTGACAGGAAAACTCAAACTCATCCATCCTTAACGTCAACTAGTTTATCATAACAGGAGAAAAAAAGAAGAACCACGTTGTTTGCTCCAGGGCTGGGAAATTAATCGTTTTATCAATTAATCAATTTTGTTTGGCTTTTGAGGATTAAAAATGTGGAAAATCCTGAATTTATTTGAGGGGGTTTCCATAGTTCATGGTGATGTCAGCACGCCCGGTGGCGGCCATCTTGTTTGACAATCGTATTTTACAGCTTCTATTTATTTAGACTTTGACTTCAGGTCAGCCATACAGTAACATATTATGCTACATGCTAACTTCTTTTTTTTTTTTTTTATAACAAAAATAAAGTTGTACAACAATAGCCAAAATAATACAAGAATAAGGGCGTGATATTACCAGAATAAAGTTGTAGTATTAGGAGAATAAAGTAGTGACTCCAACTTGGAATATGAACACAAACTGAGCTGGTTAAGCTTTTTGTGGTTCTCATTAAAAATACAGCTTTAGTCAGGTAATATTATGACTTCATTCTTGTAATTAAAAATAAAAAACCCTAATATTTCATCACCTGAACTCAGAGTCCAGATAAATAGAAGCTGCAAAACACAGTTGAAAACAAGATGGCCGGCATGATCGCGTTGACGTCCCTGTAAACTATGGAAACTATAAGGAGTGCATTGGTGGGAGAAAAAAGCTGATTTGTCAAAAGTTAAATCTTGAAAATCCAAAAGTACAATTTAATAAAATCTACTTTATTGCTCAGTCCTATAAGAAAGCCTTAAAAGTTTGTGGTAAATGTTCGTTTCTCCTGTTCAGACAGCGGATCTCTGCCGTTCATGGCCATGTTGAGGAACCTGAGGAACATGATCACTAAAGGAATCAGTGAGGCTCATCACAAAAAGATCCTCCGCAGGCTGACCAATCAGGTGCAACACGTTCTGATGAGCCACAGATCGGTTGAATTAAAAACGTGTCTCTGATGTTAATGTTTGGATGTTTCCACAGAAAGCAGTCATTCAGAGCCGCCAGTTTCCTTTCAGATTCCTCGCTGCTTACAAAGTTATCTTGGAGCTTCGTGCTTTAGGTAAGACGCATCACAAATAACAAAGACTTAAAATGACTAAATGTAGAACATTTTGAGTTGTTAAAAGCACTGCAGATTGATTAGGCCTGCAACAATTAATCAATTATTGAAATAATTGTCACCTGATTTAGTTATTCATTAATCATTAACTGGAGTATACAGAGTCTAAAAAAGGCCACTTGCTAAAAGAACACCTGGTTCAAATACTGTAAAAAACAGGAAAAACATTTAAGCACCTTTTGCTTTCCATTTATTAATCCAAAAGATAATCAACAGACGGTGATCTTTTTTTTTTTTAAACTGCAGATGCGTCCTTTACTACAGACGATACACTAAAGAAGTCCTATATTGTAGCATTTCAGGCACTAACAGTTTTATTTCCTAATTGAATTATTTGCTTGTTTGGATCTATTGTGTAAAAAAAGCCTTAAGTGATTAAATCAAAGATCTCCAGAATGTGCCAATTTTTTTAATCCAATTAATCATCAGGACCTTTAAATTAAATGCATCCATTTATCACAAAGTTTTTATTTTAACTTCAGTTAGCATGCTCTCTCTTTAAACGACTGTAATAGTTTGTGGTTTGCACGTAAAGCCACCAGTTTGTGGCGTTTAGTTTTTTACATTTTCCTCATGAATTTGGTTTAGAATTATACAGATTATATGCAACACTAAAGGTTGAAAGGATTAAAAAAGAAACTCTTTCTCCATGTAGCCTCTGCCTCCCAGAAAGCGATCCCACCTGCCAAAGAAATCCTGTTGAGCATCCTAAAGAAAGTTCCCAAGAGGCCGCGCTCCCGCCACGACTGGCAGAAGTGTAAGAAGAGGACGATGAAGCTGACGCTCGGCGTGCCGTTCATCTATCGACTGTACAAGAACAAGAAGGCCCAGCTTCTAAAAGCCTAGTGAGATCAGATTATAACTGTAAAAATGTGACATTAATGATGATAGTGATGAAGCGATTAATTGTAACTATTCTGATTAATTGATTAATTAGATTTAATGTGATTAACTGATTATTGCAAAACTCTTAACTAATTTAGTAATCGATTAATCGTTAATTGGAGTATACAGACTCGACTCAAGTCATCACTAAAAGTCATTTGATGAAAGTACAACACACTCAGAGCAATAAGTAAGCCAAAGCTGTTATCAAAAACAAACATTTTGCTTTCTACATAGTAATATAAAATCATTTGTAAACATTTTCTACCCAGAATTCCCAAGTTGCAAAGTTTTTGCTCCACTTGCTCCAAATTCTTTAAAAAATAAAAATCTAAATTTGATGTTTGAAGTATTTCTGCAGATGTGTCTTTTGCTACAAATAATAAATAAAGCGTACATGTATGCTGTTACTGCATTTTAGGCAATAAAATGTTTATTTCCTTCTTTAAAAAAGGAATGGAAATGTTTTAATGTATTTTTAATATTGCATATAGGACAATTCTGCAGAATATGCCAGTTTTTAATCAAATCAATTGTTAGAATAATCAGTTACTACAAAAATGATTAGAGTTCTAAATCTGCATTTCAAATATTACATTTGTGTCAAAAATGAAGGCTGATACAGTTGAAACGGTGTGATCTTTTGACTTGTGTTTTAAAGTCAGAGGCTTTACAGCGTCGACCTGTTGGACCGCTACCGCAAAGCTCTGGAGACGGCCGTCCAGATCTCCTGCAACTACAACGTGCCGCCGCTACCCGGCAACACCATCCTCTTCGTCACTGCCCATTCATGGAACGACGAGTCCTGGAGCAGGAAGCAGGACTTCTGCATCCCGCCGGACCCAGAGGAACTGGACAAGGTGGAGGAAGAAGAAGAAGAAGAAGAAGAAAAAGAAGAAGAAGAAAAAGAAGATGATGGCAGGAGGAAGCGTAGGAGAAAAGAGGAAGAGCATGACCCTCTCACTCCGACTGTGAGTGACTTTTGGTTTTGCAGTAACCTGATTTGGGATGGAAATTTATCAATATCGATTCCATAATCGGTTTCGCTTATTGATTCTTTTTTCGATTCTCATAGAGTTAGGAAACAAACTCTTTAATTAAAAATATGCACTACTGTGTATTCGATTAAAACTTGCTAAACAATAAAAATTGGTCTTTTAAATGAACATTTTAACATGAAATTCAGTATGGAGTTAACAATAACCAGGATGCGGAGAAGTTTCACGTTCATAGCAGGAAACTCTTCGCTCGAAGCTCCGCCCCCTTGAGTCACCGCCGTTGCTAAGCAACATATTAAACACTTAACATTCGTACAAATCGGTTTCAGGCTCTTTTGTCAACCATTTGAGGATGTTGGAGGTATTTACTCTTTTTAGTGTGATTAAAGTGCTGAAAATGTTGCAACCGGACCTTTTATCGTCTTTTTTGTATGAAATATAAAAATTTTTGGAGCGCTTCCGCCGCGACGCCATCTTGGATATTTTCTAAAGTAAAATACGGAATGTGTACGATGCGTTATCACGCAAATACGTAAGCAGAATCATTTTAAGGAAGCAGCTTAACGATTCCAAGTAACAGAATGACTAGGAATCGTTTCTGCGGTGGAGAAAAGCTCCCAGTAATGTTCTGTTCGTGTTCATGAACTCCTGCAGATGATAGAGGTGTCGGCTCTGCTCGCTCTGATGATCAAGAACAGATCGGAAAACTGCCGGCTCTTCAGGACCTGTAACAGCGGCTACAACGAAGTGGAGCTGCGATCCGACGTCCTGCTGGAAAACGCCCGACGTTTGGCCAAAGAAATGGAGGTCAGGATGTTTTGTGCTTCTGTGTATCATAAAATCTGAGGTGGAGCATTAAGAAAACTAACATGGAGAGAAGATTCCAGTTGGCGAATTGGAGAATCGTATTATTAGTGATTAATCGCTTATTGAAATAATCAACTACTCTGTATTAGATTAGTTTTCAGTTTCAGTATACAGACTGAGAAGGAACAACATAATTAGTGCAGTGATTAAGCCGAAACTACAAAATGTATACAATTTCCATTTAAGATATAAAAATATATATATTTTTGTAAACACATTGTTTCATGTAGCATAGTTGTAGCTTCACCTAGTTCAAATTCTGAACATAAATTCTCTTATTAATCACTTTTTTAAATCCAAATATTAATAGTTTAATCCAAAAAGTAATCAAAAGATGAGCCCTACATTGCCTTGATGATAAATCGAGCAGAAATTGTTGAGCTTTTTTAACTGCAGGTGCATGCTTTGCTAATGATCAGGTGTACATTGGTCAATTTTATTGTTGCAATAAAATGTTTAAGAGGAATTTAATCATTTAATTGCATCTTTCAATGCATTTCTAATATTGTGTAAAAAGGCTGATGTGATTAAATGAAAACTTTGCCAATTTTTTTATTCAATTAATCAATTAATTGTCAGAATAATTGATAGAGTAACCAATTACTAAAACAATTATTAGTTACAGGTATATTTGCTATAAGGCGAGAGTTTAAAACTTTTCCTGTAATGACATGGAATATAAAAACTGTCCTGTGATTAGAAATATGAAACAATTGTTGCAAAACAAATAACTGTAAATTATGATCAAGCATTCAGTAAAGAAATGCTTTTATTGCATTTTAGGCAATAAAAGCATTATTATTTATAAAAGGAGCTGAATTATTAGTTTTTTGTATTTCTAATGTGTTATAAAAGTTGCTTAAGTACATCAATAAAAAGTCTGTCAAATTTTTTAACCAGTTAATCAATTAATGGTCTGAATAATTGATTGCTAAAATAATTGCAGTTCAAGTCCTGCAGATAATTGAAAACTGGAGATACTTTTATACCAGTAGTCATTAAATCCATGAGTTTGGTTAAATCAATCTATCGATTGCACAGAAGTCTTGTTGCGCGGTTAGAGGTAACGATGATGTATGGACTCTTCTTTTGCAGGAATCGACCAATCATCAAGGAGACATCGATACCAGCTTTCTCTACAAGCTGTTAACCAAGAAAAACAAGGTATGTGCTTTTCGAAGTTAAGAACAGAAGAAAATAACAGTATACAAAAACATAGTACAGATATTAAAGTTCTAATTTTTTTGAATGGTTGTTTATGCAGATTGTTTGATGAGTTAGATTAAAGTTAAAATATTTTTGGTCCTCATTTAAAGGGGACATGTTATGCAAAATTCACATTTTACACATTTTTGTATTTCCATTTGGGTTTCTACTGCTTCTAGAAACAAACAACAAAAAAAAACACCCGGCTCTTTTTGACAGTAAGTTAATGTCGTTTGATGTCTGGAAAATGAGCCGTTTCAAAAACCACCAGAGTGTAACGTCACAAATCAGCAGGAACTGCCCCGTTACCTAGCAACCTAGCTTAGGTTACACGTTACCTAGCAACCTAGCTTAGGTTACACGTTACCTAGCACGTTTGGTCAGCTGGTTTTATCGATGTATTTGGCTGCTGGAAAAAGACAAGTGTTTTGTTGTTGACTTACTATCCAGAAACAACTTCTGCTTTTCAAAGGTGTATGGATGCACATCTCTCTGCAGCCATTTTCACATTTTCACAACTGTAAACGTTGAGTTGGGGGGGGGTGTGTGGCCAGTAGCAGCTTATTTGGATTTAAAGTGACAAGGTGCCCTAAAACAGCTCACTCTGAAAATGGGCAGAACTGAGCAGACTGAAATGATGCAGCAATCTGGCATGATTTAGACAGCAGCTTAAGGTCTGTTCAGGCATGTTTGTAGCCAGGATTTCATTCTAAATAAAGTCAGAGCTAAATACTCCTTTTTCTCAGGTGGATAACATCATCACAATCGCACACAGTTGGCTGGATAATGAACTTGTTTGGGCTATCAAGAACTACAAAACCAAGAACAAAAAAGCTCTCAGTGTCAATATCTTCATATCTGATAGGTATTTTTTTTCATGTACCATTCTGCACTGATTTCAGTTTCTGAAGCTTTGTGGGTTCTAACTCATCCTTTACTGTTGTGTGCAGCCATGTTGGACTCCCAGAGGAACCTCATGACAGGAACCATGTGGTGCTGAGGGGCTTCAGTGAGCAAATCCTGAGGTAAAAATGGAGAAAAGTTGAATCCAAAAGCAAATGAGGCAAATCTGAAATCCTTGTTTTCACCCAAGAATGTATTCCACAGTTTTTCATGGCAACAAAAAGTTAAATTTTATTCTCATCTCCGCTAATGAGCTAATAGATTATTGTTAGCTTAGCACTTTTGCTAACTTTAAAAACGTTAGCACAGGGGTGCCCAAAGTCGGTCCTCGAGGGCCGGCATCCTGCATGTTTTAGTTCTCTCCCTGGTTTAACACACCTGGTTCAAATGATGGCTCATTAGAGGCCTAAGAAGAACATCGACATACTGAACAGGTTGTTAGAGCCACCAGGGAGAGAACTAAAACATGCAGGATGCCAGCCCTCGAGGAACGACTTTGGGCTCCCCTGCGTTAGCACTTAGCTTCCCGTTAAATTATTTTGCCTGATGCATTGTTTAGCACTAATTTACTTGCCTGGCCTTTTTTTGTGAACTTTCAATTGAATAAGATTTGACAAATATGTGTTGAGGTTTTTGTTTTGACTGTTCAGATTTCTTCAAGTAGATAGACGTTTATGTTCACGCTCTTATTTTGAAGTAGAGGAACTGTCTATGCAGCAGTTACGTTTCTTCTCCTAATCCTTTTTTTTATCTCAATATCTTTATTTCAGACAAGAAACACTGTATGTAGAGAACAAGATGTAAACATAAATACGACATCTGAGGGAATTATAGAATATGTAAATTATAATGTGTCAACATGTTTTATTTTGGCGCTTCAGCGTATCTAACATTTATGAATAGTTCTTTTGGGTTACACTATTAAACAGTTGAAGGTTGTCCAACTGTTTAATAGTTGGATAACTACTAAACAGAAAAGACAATGTTTTGGTAAACTTTGTCTTTAAATTACCAGATTCGTGGCAGAGCGAGGATCTTCCAGGCTGCTGGATCACGTGGAGCATTTAGACAAACTGTACAACATCCCACCACCAGATGGAGCCAAAGGACCACAGACTTCAAACGTTGTTTCAGTGCCAGCCGCCCCAAAGCTAAGGTAAAGTTTCTTGACTCATTTAGTGGTTAAAGTTGATGTTTACTCGATAATTAACCGTTCCTGCTGCTCCTAGATGGAGAGGAGTCCGAGTGTTCATCTCCTCCACCTTCAGAGACATGCACGCCGAACGGGACGTCCTGGTGCGCAGCGTCTTCCCCGAGCTCCGCCGCCGCGCCGCCGCCCACTGCCTCCACCTGCAGGAGGTGGAGCTTCGCTGGGGCGTGACGGAGGAGGAGTCGGAGCGGGCCACGGCGCTGTGTCTGTCGGAGGTGTGCCGCAGCCAGATGCTGGTGGCGATCCTCGGGGAGAGGTACGGCCAGGTTCCCCCCAGACCCGACCTTCCAGACCTGCCGCAGTACAGCTGGGTACAGTTTGTCATACCAACGATTTTTATAGACATGTTGCATGCTGTTGTTTACATCCGGAGGTTAAAAAAAACAGTTCTTTTACTTGCCATCCATAGCCGTGCTGCTGCAGTAGAAAAATCCAGTTAACTAAATGAAACCTGGAGATGTTGGTGTTAGTAATTTAGCGCAGTGCGCCACAGAAAAAAAAAAAATGCAGAAACACCGTTGAAGAATAACACAGAACCATTCGTGTTCTTCTTTTTCCTCGCTCTTTGTGTCGGCTACACTAACACACAGACCTGTTGCCGTAGCAACTGACTGACAGCAGCTCCACTAACATATCAGGATTCATCACCAAAAATAACGGAAATATTTCCCGCACAAAGAGCAGAACATTCAGTTTTATTTTTCTGGCTTGACGTTTATTTTGTGATTATTAAGTGATCGTCTGAACACAGCGGTGGATGATTAGTTAATTTAAACATCTGCTCGACTAATGATCTGTCAGAGTTGCCATGTGTGTCAACTTTTCATTTTATAGTTATGTGGGTCACCTTTTCTTTTTAACTGAACCGAAACACAACAAATTCTGCAGTACATCTACATGTTAAGATTGTCACAGTCAAGCTAGCATAATGCTATTTCTTAATTAAAATGTTTTCCTGACCTTGTTATTTAGTTGTCATAGTGTTGGCAAGTAGTAGAAAAGCGCTACGTCCCTTCTTTTTATACATTCGGTGTAGTCATCCTCAGCTAGCAGCTCTTGTGTACATGACATCACATTGCAACGTGTCTATAGTTTGAATTTTCATCTAAAGCAGATAAATAACGATCTTCTTAAAATGCAGCTGGCTTCTGCTCCAGCCGGTCTCTCCATCACAGAGATGGAGATCCGTCAGTTCCAGGCTCTTTATCCCGGCGTCGCTCAGCAGAGGATGTTCTGCTACTTCAGAGATCCAAGCATCATCAAGTAAGCAGAAAACATCAGTAATTCAGTCGTGTTTGTTTCACTTTTAACTGCTCTTCGTTCCCGTCCAGATCAGTTCCAGTGGCTTGGAGATCCGATTTTGCTGCCGAATCAAAAGATGCTGAGGCGAAACTTTCTTCTCTGAAGAAAAGACTCCTGGATGACGGAGTTAAAGCCACTGAAAAGTGAGTCCAAACATGTAGGCAGAGCAGAAGTGAATTAAGTGAATGACATAAAACATATTTTAAAGAGAAGCAGGTGGGAAAAACGAATTGAACCAAAACGTTTGTTTTAAACTGTTATTTTTATAGAAACTACAGACGATGTTAAAGAGCTGAATCATTTGATGCTGGACGAATTCCTTGTGACCCATTTTTAGTCTGAATAGGTTTTTAGGTAAACGTACTGAACATTCAAATAACACAAAGTTGTGTTAAGAATTTGAAGTATGTTTAAGAAGACAGTTAATAATTCAGAACTTAAGAGACAAAAATCATCACACCCATCAAGATGATGAGTGTTTGTTGTTAAAATAGTTAAAGAAATGCAACTTAATTTTAAACTCTGATGCTGTGTCTCATAGTTACTCATGTATGTGGGGCGGCGTTGTGGACGGGAAGCCATACGTGAAAAAGCTGGAGGACTTTGGGAAAGCTGTGCTGGAAGACCTGTGGTTGGCTGTTCAGAAGCTGTTTGTTGAGGTAAATAATTGATCAAATGTCCACTTTCCGGTTTCCGTCAATGTACCTTTGAGCTAGACATTCGCCTAACGATGTTGGTGCATGATTGTAAATGTGGCTCTAGTGTAAAACTGCACCAGTGGAAGTTCATCCTGTTTACTATCTGAAGGTGTCACTGATTTTAATGTGTGGTTGCACAGCTGCTTCTATGCTCTTCCAGAAAGCATCTATGCAGTACAGTATTTGACTTCTCCCAACACATAGCTCTAACTTCTAGACACGGTCTTCTCTACTTGTACACACTTTCCATATTTAGGCATGTCATGTTCATGCCTTGCATTTAGAGGTGGCCATTTATCATATCGTTTGTCATTTATTGTGAGAAATCTCTTTTCATGATGAGAATTTTGATTCTTATCATATTTCAGTAATGATGTTAAATAAAAAACTAAACTGACAGTGTTATTGGAAATTATATTTTTACCATTTTCTCTACTGTTTGTTCCAAAATATAATGAAATGCAGTGACTTTATACAGTTTAGTGATATAAATCACACAAATTTAAGTAAGTACGCTGCAAAAACACAAAATCCTACCAAGTATTCTGTCTAGTTTCTAGTGCACATATCTTAGTACACTTGAAATAAGACAAAACTGACTTGCAGGTAACTTTTCAGCTTGTTTTAAGTCAATAATTTCTTAATGTTGATGAAAAATTACTAGCTCCACTGGAAGATTATTTTACTTATGGGAAGATATTTTTCTCATTAAAGGTTTAAAATTCCGCCAGTGGAACTAGTACTTTTTTAAAATTATTTTTAAGCTCCTATATCTTGCTGGAAAGTTACTTTTAAGTTTATGTTGCCATATTTCAAGTGTATTGAGATCTTTGCACTACAAACTAGACAAAAATGCGACACTGTCTATTTTCTGCAGGAGGATGTGGAGGCAGATTCTGCTTTGGAGGTTTCTGAGCAGGAGGTCCACCAGGGGGCGCTGCAGAGGCAGTTCTTCGGCAGGACAAAGCTGCTGTCAAATGCTGTGCAGACGGTGGAGCGGGTCCAAAACAAGGGAGGAATGGTGGTGATAGAAGGAGGACCTGGAGAGGGGAAAACTGTCTTCATGGTAAATTTACATCCTCAGGTGGTTTGAAATCTAGATTAGGTTAAGAGAACTGGGGCAGAATTACAAACAGCTTATGAAGACATGGTGATGACGATAACATATAAATATTTGTCCATATAAGGCTTTCAAAGGCTATTTGAGTAGCATTTTCTTTCCTTGGCAATTTCCTGTATGATTAAATAAAGTCCACTACTTAGAGGCACAAAATAAAGAAAACCTTAAAATTACCAATTATACTTCAACAGTTTATGAGCTATACAGAACATGTTTGTTACATTTTCTGCACGAAATCATTCTTAGATGACGAGAATTTAGTCTACTCAGTTCTGGATATTTTGAAATGAAAATGGCTGCAAACAGATGTGCAATTATACAACCGTACATCTTTGAAAAGCAGATGTGGAGCCTTCTGCACATCCAACAAGAATGTAGCAAGTTGTTTCTAAATCATAAGTCAACAACAAAACCAGCTGACCAAGCATGCTGGAACTCAGCTTGGATTGCTAGGTAACGGGCGGAATTCCACTGTGGTTGCTAGGTAACAGCACAGTGACTGTACAATATGACTCAATAATCAGGAGGTTATTGAAACGGCATACTTTCCACGCACAAAAAGCATCAACTTATTGTCAAAAACAACCTCTGTCTTTTATGTATTTATTAATTTATTTTTAAAAGCAGTTGAGACTCAAACGGAAGCACAAAAACGTGCAAAATGTGAATTTTGCATAATTTACATTTTTCAGTAAAATGATTCTGTATGTTTCTTGTTTGAAATAATTTATTCTACGATTCATCAACTTCTTAGACACTCAGCCTAAGTATAAATGTGAAGCCAAATAGTTCACGAGGAAAGATCTTTTTCAGTAAAATGATTTGTTTCAAGGGGAAATGTATCATAGTTGTTTGTCTTTATCACTGTTAAGCCAAATATCTCTGCATTTATTCCCTCCTGTCAGGCTGCTCTAGCAGATTCCCTCCGAACTGGACTGAAATCTAAAACGAACCTCCGCTGCGACGTCATCTCTTACTCCACAGCTGCCAGCCAGTCGGCGCGCTGCGTGGAAAACCTCCTTCGATGCCTCGCTGTGTGGCTCAGAAACGATAAACACTCAGAGGAGGAATCGCCTCTTCCTCACCTGTACAAGTAAGAAGCTCCTGCACGGAGAGTTTATGCACCAGCTGTTCTATCCAGCTGTTTTAACCTTTTATTTTTGGATTCATTAGGGACTTGCTGTCGGAGTTTCACTCTACTCTGAGTGAAAGGAAGAAGAAGAAACCTCTGGTGGTTCTGGTCGATGGAGTGGATCTGGTCCAGGATGGCAAAGGACAGTTTAGCTCTGACTGGATCCCACAGCTGCTTCCTCAAGTGGGTTCCAAGAGAATAGGGCAATAAATCAATAACAATATAAATCGCTACAGACATGTGATCAATGTCAATAGATGATACATCTGATGGAATATTCACTGAACTCTGATCCAGAACCGCACAGCATTCTGGGAGATTTAGGCAGAGGAAACTCATTGCTAGCTTAGCAAAGTTGGTGGAATCCACTAACTCTCTCACTCTTTGGTTACCTAGCAACCCACTCACTCTTTGGTTACCTAGCAACGACTTGTTCAGTAACTGGCGCAGCAGCAGTTTAAGGTTTCACCTCTGTGCCTCATAACTGCTTAAAAATAAAAAGCAACTATGTGGAGAGAAAACTGGATAAAACGGGAAAGATTATCCACTGGTTTGGTTGTATTTCAGATTTTTAAAACAAAACTGAATACCGACTGATATGAAGTGCTTATAACATGATACGTTTTTCCGCCATATTGTCCAGCCCTACAAGAGAATTAAAACTGAGAGGAAAATTATTTAGTTTGACATTGTATGTATAAATATTTTGTTGTTTCTCATCAGGGTGTCTGCTTAGTGCTGAGCGTCGCGTCCAGTTCACCTCTGCTCCAAACTTTAGCCAAGAAAAAAGGAGCAGAGCTGTTTCCCCTGGGGCAGCTCAGCTTGCCGGATAAGAGGGAGATTGTTCAGAAAGAGCTGGATGTTTTCGGGAAGAAGCTCAGTGACTCTGCATTTAACAACCAGGTTCTGATTTTACATTCTCTGCCTCTTTCTGAATGTTACTGGAACTTGTTTTTACTGAGAAACTGTGCTGTGAATTAAGCTCCAGACGTTAATAACAAAGAAAGGAGCTGCGAGTCCGCTCTACCTGCACCTGGCCTGTGAAGACCTGAAGAACTTTGCCTCCTTTGAAAAGGTATAAGCTCATATTTAGGTTTATTTCTGAGCCTGAGGAGTTGATGGGAGTTAGAGCAGGCTGTGTTTTTGTGTGTTTCAGCTGAAGGAAACTCTGCAGGGTTTGCCTCAGTCTCTGAGTCTGCTGATCCAGTCCAGCCTGGAGAGACTCTGCAACCAGTGCAGAGACGTACCTGGACTCCGTCTGAGCCTCGCAGCTCTCACTGTCAGCAAAAACGGTAAAGTTCTGCAACATTACAGTAAACAACGTCGCAATAAATGAAAACGAGAGCAATCATTTTCATTTGTATGCTTGTTCTTGTAATTTGTTTAATCTTTAAAGAGATGCAGCCTTAAAGTTCACCAGAGGTCACAGTCGATCATTTTCCGATTCAGAACCATGACCTTTGACTTCAACGAACTGGCTTTCAGTTTCACAGCCCACAACAATATTATTGTCTGTAAAGAATCCTGCAGCTGAAAATTATGAGGCATCTACCTCATAATTTGCACAAAAACTGAAATATTTCTTGTTTTTGTCCCATGAACACAAAGTTCTATTCATAAATTATTTCACTGTAACAACATCTGACTGGGACCATTTCCAGACTTTCTCAGAAGTGTGAATCTTGACTTGGAGAAAGGATTCATTCTGGTCTGTTGGTGTTTTCCTCTTTATTTGCAGGTTTAAAGGAGAGAGACCTGTTCTCTGTGCTGAACACGTGTAACAGCCTGTCTTCACCGGACGGCCAGGTCTCATGGGAGGAAGTGCTGCAGCGCTCCAGGAAGCCTACAGGACGGGTTCCCATGGCAGTTTTCACCCGCATTGTGCAGAATTTACAAAGGTACAGCGCCATCTACTGTTATTAACGAGTAAATAAGCCTTAAAATATAAACTTTAGTTACAGTAGAATAAAGTTTACTGAGTCCAACTCATCGATCTCCAACTTGCTGCTCCGGAGCCAAATGTGGCTGTTAGTGACTTTGGCCAAAAATCACAAGATATTTTAAAATATAAAGGTAAATAAAAATGTTAATCAGTTTTCAAAGGCCACAAAGAATTAAACTAATAGTGCAGGGAATATTGCTAAATTATATAATATTACATACGTTTCGAACTTCTTTATTGTGTAAAAGAGTGAATGTCCTATTGACATTTCACAAAGGGAAATGTGATAAATCTAAAAATTTATGTTAACTAAAAAGCCTTAACAGATTTACTAAAGGAGGTATTATAAAAACAAAGGGTAAAACTAAATTTGTTCTTAGTGTTATAAAATAAAAACGTAAATTAAGAAAATTTATTAATTTATTTATTTTTCCAAATAATGGTTCCTAATTTTTTTTTTTAGGTAATTTGTTAATATGACCAGAACTTCTTGGATCTTTTAGTTAGTAATCCATGAGCTCCATTTGGCCTGGTGTATAAATGCAATGTGACTATTCTTCCTTTATCTCCTTTATAAAGACTGGAGAACATAAAATTCACATGAGATCAATCAGTTTTGATCTTTATTGATCAGAGAAGCTTCAAGAACATTTCTGACCTGAATATGCCTAAATATGCAATCAGAGCAATAATTCTGGTATTTTCACATCTTGACCTTTTATCAAAATTATTATTTAAATGGTTTTTGTGATAAATCCTTTGCTAAATATTTATAGATTTCGTTTTTTAGGATGCATTGGCATTTCGGACGCTGTAAGGTTGTGTTTTTCTCTCTGTTTGGACCTTTTCCTGCAGCCTGACCGGTCCGTCTCATTGCCAAAACACCGACGACGTTTTGGCTCTAAGCAACCCGGAGGTGAAAAGAGGCTTTGAGGGATTTTTTCTCCCAACAGAAACAGAAAGATACAGAGCTCACTTCGTTCTGGCAGGTAAAGCAAACCCCATCATTCCTTAAATACCATTTTTTTTAAATTTTATTCTGTAATAAGCTCTAATGTTTCTAATCGAACAGGTTATCTGTGGGCGACGGCTGACCCTGAGGGAAACGACACTTTCCTTCACTCTGAGGCCGACACACTCATGCATCTGCCATCAAGCTTGGTTTGTTTATATTTATTTATATGCATAACTCCTGTTCAAAGAAAAAGCATTTTAACTCCCTGTTGCCTTCGTTTGGACTCGTACAGATTCAGATTGGACAGCAGAGGGCTCTTGATTCCCTTCTCTCCAATTATTATTTCCTGCATGCGAACGTGAGCCACGGCCTCCTTCACCACCTGCTGGAGACGTACGACTTGCACGGTGAGCATGAATGAAGATAAAGATAAATGATCATTAAAGGGGACCCGTTATGCAGAATTCACTTTTTCAGTTTTTGTACTTGAATTGGAGTTTCAGCTGACTCTAAAAACAACCCAAACACTTTGTGTTCTTTCACATCAGCACAGTTTAGTCAAACTCTAGTTTGATTTATTAGAAAGTCCGGTTTGTTTGGGGAGGTGTGAATGTGTGATTGGAAAACAGCAAACTCTGGTTTGCTTATAAACCTCAGTCTCAGTTCGGTTAAGTGAATTCTGGTGCAGTTTGAAACCACATGTGAACGCCAAGTGGACCGGAGACTGCTCCAAAAGCAGGAAGTGGACTACAGCGTGGGGAATTCTGGGTAAAACAACCTAAACCAATATGAGAATCTGTTGCTAGAAGGAGAAATGGCTTGTGGTATTTTACCAAAGACAAAAAAGAAATCCTATTGACGCTACTTCATTTATTCACCTTTTGTGACGAAGGAAGTTGTGCTTTTCTGAGCTTTAATATTGTTTCCTTCAATGGTTCTTGGTTCAGCGCCACCACAGGCGAGGAGGGGAACAGGTTTTATCAGTTAGTTTGGTTCATTTGACAGTGCAGTGTGAAAGTGAACCACAGTAGCTGAAAATGTAACAAGCGTTGCAACTTTGTTCCCAAATCTAACCGATTCTGCAGAATTATCAACCATGAAAACACCCTAAAAAAAAAAACAAAAGATACAGCCTTGTTTTGGTATTAAGTTAATGTTTTTTAGTGTCTGGAAAATGAGCTGTTTAAAAACCTTCAGAATGTAACGTCACAAATCAGCAGGTACAGTCTGTTACCTAGCAACCCTGTCTGAGCTCCAGCAGGTTTGGTCAGCTGGTTTTATCACTGTATGTGATGTACAATGGCTGCTGGAAAAGACAAATTCTTTGTTGTTGACTTACCACCCAGAAACCATTTGCCGTTTTCTTTATTGTTATGTGGGAGGCTCCAGTTCTGCTTTTCAAAGCTTTGCAGTTTTATAATTTAGCATCTTTTTGCAGCCATTTTCACGCTTTAGTATAAAAGTATAAACTAACCTGTTCAAGGAAGCATAATGGGTCACTTTTAAGATTTGTTAATGTGGTTTAAGAATCAGATTTGTGTTTTTTTTTTTTTTTTTTGGTTTTTTTTTGATGTTTGGTCTTTTTCTCTGAAATGTTGCTTTCTCTTTAGATAAGCAGCCCAAAAATACACCTCACTGTAAGTCTGTTAAGAAACACTGTTAAATATTTTCACCATGAGTTATAACGTTTAGTTCCCGAAACATTTCATTGCTCATGTCACCTTTGGTCAATCAGCTGACCTGGATGAACATCTGGACGACTGTCGTGGTTTCCTTAGGCGCCACACCTCAACGCTCTCCCCATGGCCGGCGCTTTTCGTCCAGCAGGCGCTTAACGAGCCTCTGGAAACATCAGCTCACATCTGGGCTGCAGGCCTGCAGGGGAGACGGGGAGTCCGGGTGATCGAGTGTCTGAACAGCAGCGAAGGCAGCGCTCCAGAGATGAGGTAAACTTTATGGTTGCAGTTAGAGATGTGTTCGCCTCAGTGCAACCAGCTTATAATTAAAAACTAAAGTCTCCAAGCAGCATCAGTTTTTATTAGATTATTTAAAGAACATATGAGGTTTTTGTAAAGATTTAGTTTTTTTGTTTGACCTCAGTGCGCTGGTGTCAACCTTCTCCTCCGAACCAACCTGTGTGGTTCTGAGTCCGGACAAACAGCTGGTTGTGGTTGGTACCGGACAAGGAACGCTGCACTTTGTCAACACACAGACTGGACAGGTACTGAGATTATATTCAGATTTTTATCTCTGCTATTACCCCTGAACAAACTTCCAGAAAACTGCAGAACAGCTGAAACCCTGAATTCCTTTAAATCAAGACAAAAACCCACTTGTTTAGTTTCTTTTTAACCATAGTAGATGAAACATTGACCAACATATTTGATTTTTGTGATTTTGGTGACTCACTCATAAAAATGTAATGTTTGTTCAGTTATTGACTGTATGATGTTTCCTTTAAGACTTAATGTGTTTTTATTATGTAAATCGCCTCGACCCGCCTTAATGCTGAAATATGCAATACAAATAAACTTGATTGACAATATTATGAGAATAAAGTCGTAACATGATGAGAAAAAAGAGTAATGAGAAATATCATCCCACCTCTTCTTTTGAGGATCATCTGTGTGGATTTATTCTGTCCTGTGAACAGGAAGTGAAGTCGCTGGTGAGCAGCTGCGACGGCGTCTCCAGCTGTGTCTTCCTGAACGACGCGTGGCTCGTTTCCACTTCCTTCGACGGGAGACTGGAGGTGTGGGACGTCCAGAACGGATGCAGGTGGGAGGAGCGCTGAGACCATTTAAATCTTTATTTTTAGTTATTATTATTATTTTATTTTATTTTTGAGTGTGTGTGTGGTTTCTTGTTGCTGCAGGACGGCTCTGGTTGACGGCCACACTAACACGATAACGGCGAGTGACATCACACCGGACAGGAAACACCTCGCCACTGTGTCCCTTGACCTCACGCTGAAAGTTCGTCTTCTCTGCGTTTAATTCAATGCTGTCATGTTTATTCATTGGTTTTAGGCAGCAACAATTAACTCAAAATAACATTAACTCAATGGTGAAAGAGCATTAGGTTCAGATTACATCTATTAAAAAGTGAGATTTTACGAGGTGGGAAAGCATTTTTATGTATCCATTTTTCTAAGAAAATTTTAAAAAACCGAAATGTGTCGAGACAGAAAAAGTTTTTACTCACATATTTGCCTACAAACAGGTCTCTAACGTTCTCCTTTTCCTGAATCAAACTTTCTCTTTCTTAGGTTTGGTCTTCTGCTAAAGCTAACGAAGTGGCCTCTCTGCCCAGCACCAGCCCCTTCAACTGTGTGACCTTTGACCCCGAGGGTCACCTGCTGGCTGCGGGTTGCTGGAATGGAAACGTTATCGTGTGGAATTGGCTGCAGAATAAAATAGAAACTGTAAGTTTTATATTGACAGCAGAGCTGCAAATGGTTTAAGATCCAAGTTGTTTTTGATGTTTAATGGGTAAATATTGAGATTTTCTCATTTTTCCAGTATTTAAAAGTTTTTATTCAATAGATTGTTGCTTAAAAATGTATAAATGATGTTGTGATCAAATTGTTTTGATGCTTTTATAATATATTCAGGTTTTGTACTGGTGCTTGAAATCCTTGAAAATGCTTACATTTCAATTAGATGTTTTCAAGGTTCAAAAATGCTTGATTTTTGTATCAATTCTTGATATTCAAACTGAAATAAGATTAAATCTAAGATGTGATTAAAAGCCTAAATTTGGAAAAAATGATTTATATTTGAAACCAAATATTTTCAGTGTTTTTTTCTCACTGCCTGAAGTTAAATCAGACTAAAACTTTTCTTGTTTGATGTCGGATAGAATTAGTAAAATAATTTGCATTTGCTAAATTCCAGAAAACTTAGAAAAATTTTTAGATTTATGTTTCATAACTATTTTGTTAATTGTGTTTAAACATTTAATTTGAGCAGGAAGGCCATTCACCTCAACAAGATTTGCTTGGATTGTTTCAATGTAATGAGTATTTATGATTACTGATGGCTCAATTATACATTGATAATTGTAATTGACGTTAATAACAATGTTATTAAATTGGAGGACTTTTCTTCTTAATCCAATTAGTGTTTTGTTTTCAGGTCAGTCAGGTGTTTTCTGTGTGTGAGAGAAACATTTCAAAACATAAAATTTGGTTATATTTTAGCTTAAAGTAATAAATTATCAGATATAACGGTGAATTGAAACTGACTTTTTTTAGTTGGTTTGTGTTGTTTTTCTCTCCAAGTTGTGCTTGAAAATGTTTGGAAAATTGTTTTAATTTTATTGAAGGAAAAGTGAATCAAGAACTGTTCAAACATACAAAAATGTGAATCTCTTTTAGATATTTATAATTTTAGGATAAACCAGAAAGTCGGACTAAAACGTAGCGATATATTTTGCGTTTGTCCCTCAGTCGCTGCGCGGTCACCGGCGGTCGGTGCGCAGCCTCTGCTTCTCGCCGTCCTCCTCCTCCATGCTCTGCTCCGGCTGCGTGTCCGGCCAGGTGAGGCTCTGGTCGGTGTCCACCTCCACCTGCGTGGGCGTCTTCCAGGCTCACAGCGGCGCCGCGGAGACGCTCGCCTTCCTGGAGGACGGCGCCATGCTGCTGAGCGCCGGCTCCGATCACGCGGTGAGGCACTCGGGTTCAGTTTGTTGACGAAAGATGAATGCAAACTTTTAAAACTGCAATGAAATGACAGAGTATTATGGCCACACTAAGAAAATAAAATTATGAGAATAAAGTCATAATATTTTGACTTTATTTTCAAAATATTACATATTCTCATATTATTATGGCTTTTGTATTACTGTCAATTTATTCTTGTACAAGTTTAGTCTCATAATTTAATTTTTCTTAGTGTGGCCCTAATACTCCATAATACATTGAAACATTAATGAAAGTCTCTCTTTGTTTGTGAAACAGCTCCACCTCTGGTCAGGAGGACTTGGCCGCTCAGTCATTGCTTTAAAAAGTGATGAAGTAAGCTCCTATTTTTACATAAATAATAATTTAAGTTGCAACTACTGTATTATACATTGAATGTGTTTATAAAAATCCAAAATAGAAGACAAAAATCTAACACTATCTGCAACCGTAGCAATCTAAGAAGCCATTTTTCCCCTTAGTCCGGCAAAATAAAACTCCTTTAGAGTCGCAACTGTTACATGAAGATTTGGTTTAAAAAAAAACAACTCTTTTTTTAAATAAATCTTTACTGGAGAAAATGAGTTTTATTTGAAGAAACACAATTTTATTTATGTTTTTGCAAGAAAAATAAATCTAAAGAATATAATTTCCACTTTTAGTGTCATGCTGCTGAAGTGTTCCAAATAAACATGAAACCTCAATCAATCAATCAAATTTTATTTGTATAGCACATTTCAGCAGCAAGGCATTTCAAAGTGCTTTGCATAATTAAAACAAAAACAGCATGTGAGAAAGAGATTTAAAAAAACATCATTAAAACACAAACAGTGAGAGAGAGAAATAAAAAGCTGTCTCCAACCCTTTTGACTTTAGTCAAAACGCCGTTTGACAAGGACTTTAACCTCTCGGAAACGGTGAGAAAGAGAAATAAAAAAAGTAATAAATAGATAAAGAGAAAAGATAAAAACATCAAAAACATTGAAGACATCAAAACCCGCAGTCTAACCCTAATTTAGCCATAAGCAACTCTAAACAGGTGGGTTTTAAGTTGAGATTTAAAGGCGCCCAGTGTTTCAGCTGTTTTACAGTTTTCTGAAAGTTTGTTCCAAATTTGTGGTGCATAGAAACTGAATGCTGCTTCTCCTCGTTTGGTTCTGGTTCTGGGGATGCAGAGCAGACCAGAACATGAAAAACATTTTTTTAATATATCTTTATTTAACAACATACTCGGTCTCTTATCTTTTATAACTAAAGTTTTAAAGCGGTGTTGTGTTTGCAGACTCCTGCACTAGTTGATTTATTTAGTGTTTGGATTACAGATAAAGTCAGTTTGTTACATTTTAACATTTCAAAATAGCAGTTTACCTTCTTTCTTTTCAAATTATTATTATATTTTATTTCAAGAGTGAGTTGGAGCCTCCTCAGAAGAAGCCTAGATGTGTAACATCGGATCCAGCCGCGCTCTGCGTGGCGGTGAGCGGCGACTACGCTGCTGTGGGTTACCATGGTGATGGCATCAAACTCTTCAGGACCGATTCAGGTGAGTTTTAGTTTAACAGACGAGTAAATGGTTTACCTAAGAGGGGAGAAAATTTGATTTTTAATTTCAAAACATGACTTGTTTTAACTAAATCGGATTCAGTCTTAATAGCGCACTGTAAAATGTCCGGTTAAAACTGGTTATGTGAAAGTAAAACGTGGTTTGTATAATTAAATCGCTGAAAGTTATTTAAAATAAATGTTTATCAAAAATAACTCAATAGCATACTGTAAAGTGATCTGTTAACTATGTAAATGTAAGTGGAATGTGGTTTATAGAATTAAATTACTATTAAAAAATATTAAAAGAAATGTCAAGTATCTAATTTTTAAAAAAGTATCTTGATGGCAAATCGTGAAATGGCATTTTAAAACTGTTTTTAAAGTTAAACTTGGTTTGTAGAATTAAATTTCTGAAAATTATGTAAAATAAACAGTGAAAAAAAAGATAAAAAAAACGATCTCTTAAAACTAAAAGTAAAACTTAGTTTTAATAAAAAATAAAGGCCCAATCACTCAGATGAGTGATTTAAATCATTCATCTGTGTAATTTCAGCATAAACTGATGAAATGTATTATATAAAGACTCTGTCGTCGTTGCAGGTGAAAAGATTTGGGCCTCCACGGATCTCGGGGTGTCCGTGAACTGCCTGCTGTGGGTTCCTGAGGACCCGGAGCAGAGCGGGCCGGAGCTGCTGGTTTCTGGAGGAAGCGACAAACATTTGAGGCTGTGGAGGAAAAACGAAGGAGAGGAGGGAGTTATTGAAGGGCTGAAACAGCTGAGGACGATCGGGATGCAAACCGGCAGCATCCTGGTGATGAGGCAGAACTCCACGGTTCTGGCTTCAGCTTCAGGTAAAACACATAGAAACACTTTTATTTTCATTTGACTTATGAGTGATTTCTACTTAAAATCAGTTAATATCAGTGGAAAAAATGTGTTTGGTTCCTGTGAGTCTGATGTAGGCGATTATGACGGCTGCTCAGGGCTTCATGGTTTTAGGGGCGACATGAAAAGTCAAAACAAAAATAAAGGAAAAATTATGTGAGCTGGGCCTCAAATTACTTTTTTTCAATTAATACATTTTATTTTAATTAAATTAAAGGGATGTTTCACTGCACTGCAAAAACACAAAATCTTACCAAGAATTTATGGTTTAGTTTCCAGTTCAGATATTTTAGTACATGTGAAGTAAGACAAAACTAACTTAAAAGCAACTTTTAAACAAGATATATGAGCTAGTTATTATAATTAGTTGAACCGATTTAATTTTGAGATTAATTCTAGAAATTTTGTGCAGACATTGGGTCATGTCTGCACGTTTGCAGTTAACAACTCAGCAACTTTCCGACTATATTTAGCGACATTTCACGGTAAAAAAAGAATGGAATCGACCAAAATCCTTTTCAAGATCGGCGATCGGCCAGAAAACTGCAGTCGGTGCATCACTGATTATAATTTCACCGTTTCCCGAAACAGATGATTTCAGCATCGCGCTGACGCCTCTGAAGGATCTGACCGACGCCTCCACGCCGAAGCCGAAGGCTTTGCTGCGCGGCCACCAGGGAGGAATCACCTGCCTGGCGTTCAGTCCTGACGGGTCGCGGCTGCTGTCAGGTGGAAAAGATCAGGTGACCTCTTCAGCTCGTTTAGTGGGCCGGCCTCCATTTCACACATTGTCGTGTCTGCTGTTCGGTTTGAAAGCAGTGTTTCGGATGACGCCTGTGTTTGTTTTCAGGCTTTGATGGTTTGGAGCGCCGACCCAAATCAAGGAGCTCTGCTGAAATTGTTCCCCAACGCTCACAGAGACTGGATCACCGGCTGCGCCTGGACTCCCGACTGCGCTGTCAGTTCACCTCCGCTCCAAATGACCTTATGTGGAAAACTGTTTGACGTATCAGGGCCATTCTGAACAGAAGACAAAAAAAAAGAGTAGTAAAAAATTTTGAGATTAATTCTAGAAATTTTGTAGGATAAACTCAAAAATGTTCAGATAAAGTTCAGAAATTTTCTAGAGAAAACGGGAGAATTTCTGAGTTTGAAAAGTAAAAAAAATAGCTGAGGACAACAGAAAGTTCAAGAACGATCTCAGAAATTTTCTGGAACATTTTTTTAAAAGTCTCTAGAGAAAACAGGGAAACTTGAGTTTGATATTTGAAAAAATGCTACCAAAAGCACAGAAAATTTTAGATTAATCTCAGAAAATACTGAAAAAATTTGTTAATTTCCGAGTTTCAATATTTGAAAATTTTCAAGAAAAAAACGTAAACATTTTTGAGAAAGAAAAACTGGAAAATTTCTTTGTTTGAAAAGTTGAGCATTTTTTACTGTTGAAACAGAAATTTCCATGTTTTTTTTTTTTTTTTTTTTTTTTTTTTTCAAAAAAACTTCTGGAATTTACCTAAAATTTGTGAGATTTTTTTCATGCAAACCATTGTCTTTTCAAACTTTTCATAAAAAAAAAGGTTTTGGTTAAAAAATGTTTTTCATCCAGAAATTTTACTCAAGAGTAGAGATGCTTCATATAAAAAAAAAATTACTCAACTAAAAGTAGAAAGTACAGCGTCGTAAAAATACTCAGTGAAATAACTTTTTTTTCCCTTCAAAATTACTCAAGTAAATGTAACTGGTTGCTACAAACTCGATTTATATCTCACCTGGACATTAAAAGAACTCCTTACATTTAGTGTTTCCTCTTGGTTTTCTCGTGTTTTCTTCTAGATAAGCTCATCAAATGACGGGAGGCTTTGTTTTTGGGACCTGGAAGTCGGTTCGCATCTCAAAGAAATCTCCTGGAGGAATCCGCTCACCTCCGTCTGCTGCCTGGTGAGCGAATTACAGACTCAGTTTATAATTTAGCATGTTGATGAAGCACATACATGGCTTATTGGTTCTGTTATTTTGCCAAGTTTGTCTTTAAGTCTTGGTGCTTCTGTGTGCAGGGTCGGCATGTGATCGCTGGCTCTTCGGAGGGGGCGCTGCATGTTTGGGATTGGGAGAAAAACACTGAAATCTGCCACATTTCTGCCCACAAGCAGCGCATAAACCACTGCTCTCTGCTCCCAAACGCTGGTACTGAAACTAAGCTAAACTCCTCGAGTCCTGTTTCTCATATCCAGACAAAAATGGTGCCGATATTTTTGCCTTTTCTGAAATTTCGTCTCTAGACAAGGAGAAGGAAACGGAACCAGAAGAGCTGACTGTTTTCACCGCTTCAGACGACGGCACAGTGCAGCTCTGGAAACCTCTGCAGGTATTTCACAGCAGTTGAAACCCGCCCACTTCATTAAATTCAACTTTTAATGTCCAAATATGTTTGATGTGTGTGATGCTGGCTGTTTTCATATTGACCCGAATTCATGTAAATACAGGACCAGTATCACCAACATCAATACCAATATTTTTATTATTTAGGTTTGAGGTAACATCAAACTTCTCACCTTTTTAAATGTTTTTATTGTTTGAATTATTTTGTTTAAACTTCAGATGGAATTTGGCCAAATTTATAGGTGTCTACAGAAATACTTTAGGAACCTTATCAACAGAAAAAATAGAAAAACAAAACTAATATATGTGTTGTTTTTTTGTTAATAAAGTGAAAAGAAATAAAAACAAAATCTCTTTACTAAAACTTGGTGGAATCAGCTAACCCACCCACTCACTCGCTCTTTGGTTACCTAGCAACCCACTCATTCTTTGGTTGCCTAGCAACGACCTGTTGAGTAACTGGGCTGTAGCAGTTTATAGTTTCGCCACTGCGCCTCATAACTGCTTAAAAATAATTTAAAAAACAGCATGGAGTGGAAACTGTGCTTAGGGTCACATCCCCAATTTGGCAGCATTTCAGATATTTAAAACAAAAAATCTGGTCAATATTTATTGATATCGACTGATATGAAACTGTTATGAATTTATATTGTGATGGTTTTTCAGCCATATTCTCCTGCCCTACTTTTGAGGTAGCGTTGAGAAGCTACGATACAAAAGTAAAATAAAATGTTTAGACGGAGACTGAAACTAAAGTACTGATCTTATCAATATTATCGATGCTTTTTAATCAACCTGCCCGTTTCTAACATCTACTCTCCAGCTTTCAGCTGATTCAGACATTTTCTCAGGTTTAATCCTGTTCCTTCCTCCAGGTTGAACACTTCAGCACCTTCCTGGGTCACAGCGGTGCCGTTCACGGCGTCGCCCAGAAAGGAAAAGTCCCAGAATTCCTCACTGTGTCTGAAGACGGTTCCCTGAGATGCTGGGCCTGGAGAACTGGTACATCTCTTCACCGTGCAGCTGCTGGATTTAAACTATCACTCTGATAGTTAACGAGTATTTTCCGTCGCTTGTGCACAGACACTTCTGCGTACCGGAAAGGCCCCATCTCGGCGCTGTGCTTCTCTCAGACTGCCGACTTTATGCTTGCTGGCTACGAGTCCGGTCTGCTGGAGCTGTGGAAGCAGAACTCAGTGGTTGACCACAAGCAGGTAAATCCAACCCAGGTGTTTACGTTGGTTCTCGCAAGAGAGAAATTTAATCCAGAGCCAGAATTCACTTGAATTTGTATATTTATAAATGTGCAGCCTTTCATTTCATTGCTTCTTTCTGTGATTGTGTCTGTTTTGGTTGCAGGCGTCGGACGGCCCGATCGCGGCTGCCTGTTGGATGCCTGATGACCAGTTCGCCGTCTCCTACATGAACATCATGGTTGTTGATGTGTGGAAGCTGGTGTGGAACCAACAACACACCAAAGTCAGGTAAAAAGATAAAAAAAAATAAAAATTAAGCCAGTACTCTCCTTCTACAGCCAGGAATGAAGTGAAATAGTTTTCTTCATGATCCCATAAAGCTTCAAAATTAAAATGGTTAATGATTTATTTGATCATTTTGGAAGATAAGGAAGTAGCTCAGTTATGCTAGCTTGACTTTGACAACCTTAACATGTAGATGTGCTGCAGAATTTGTTGCTGAATCGAATAATTTTGTCAGAAACTATTCTGACCAAAGTAATCAATGAAAGTCTTTAATTGATGACTCGGTGAGTTGGTGCGTTTAAACCAAGCAGTAAATCCTCGTCTCTAAAAAGTTTGTATTTCTTGTGCTGCTTGCAGCCTGGTGAAGGTGAGGAGCTACAAAGTGAGAAACCCGATGGTTCGCCTGTTTTACTGCTCGCTGCTGATGGGCGTCACCTACCTGGGGATGCTTTGCGACGTGGCCAAAGACGAAGGCGACACGTGGAACCACCAAAACTCAAAGTTTGTTTTCTCAATCAAAAAGTTGTTCCAAAACGAAGAATTAAACATTAGTGATGGAGATAATTATCCTGTTTTACGTGCATCTTTGTTGTGCGTGTCTGTCGTTCTCAGCTGGATTCAAAGCGTCGATATTCTGAGCGTTGTTCGTAACGATGAGAAAAGTGTGTGGCTGACTGGAAGAGGCGACGGAGAAATTCATCTGGGCTTTTTTGTGAGTTTCTTTGATATATTCTGCAATAATAAAAACTACATTGAACAGCAGCATCAGTGAAGAAGACAAATCTCCAGCAGGATACGTTTAAACTAATCCTGTCACAATAAGCAATAAATCAATATCACATGATAAATTAAAGCAAACTTTGGATGATTTATTGTTTTTCTCTTTCTACCAAAAACTGAATAATAAGTCTTCATTGTGGTGTTTTAGTCTCAACTAGTTCTTTTTTTAAAGATAACTTTGTTTACAGAAACTTGATAATTTATTTAATTTGTTGTTTTATTTATTTAAATGTCTTTCAGCTCCAGTGTTAACTGTTCTTTAGAATTAAAGTTTGAGAATGAGTTCTTGTATTATTATGCCATGACTATCATATTAGTTGAAAACTGTCTCAAAATAACAATATTATCGCAATAATTTCTACAACAGTTTATTGTCCAGCAACATCTGTAATTATGACAGGCCTGGTTTAAAGATGTTTGGGTCGCAATCTGCAGATTCATTTCAATATATTAGAACTTAATTGAAAAGTTAATAGATTTTCAGTGATTTAATTGAAAAAAAAAATGTTTCTGCTAAAAGCAAAACAAAAAAGAAATAATATTCTGACTTGAATTATGGATGTAGTTTTGTTTCATCTTTTATTTGATTTCAGTTCGGTTTGGGCCCAGAAACTACTGTATACTCATGTTTTAGCTCTATGAGCATGAAGTTCAGCAACAGGAAGAAAGAGGAGGTAGAAAAAGAGGATAAAGAAGAGGAGGAGGTGGAGGAAGAGAAGAAAGAAGAGCAGCAAAAGGGAAGCCTGATAACCGCCATGACTGTGGATAAAGGTACCAAAAACATCAAATATTAAAAGCTTGTTTTTATAACTGTAACAAATTTCATTCAGTCAGAATAATACACCAAATCCAAAACATGGCTGACGTGGTTCAGCAGTTAGATGAGTTATAACTGTGTTTTCCTGTATTTTTTTTCACTATTTCAGGAGTTTAAATGCGATGTTTCTGTGTTTCAGAGTTTGTGGTGTGTGGAGATGATGAAGGAAACATGTGGTTCAATCAGGGTCCGGATGTTTCCTCCTGGAGTGACAGAAAACCTGTGAGATCCTCTCCAAAAAACCCTCACATCTGATGCTAAGCTACAGCCACCACAGGCCAGATATCGTGGCTGCGACACATTTTACAATTTTATATTGTAAACATAAGGAAAATGGAACTGCAGTAGCCACCATTCAACACAAGAGGGCAGCACTGAGATATTTTAGACAAAATATGGCAGAACTGAGCAAATGTACAAGAAAATGTCAAAATTTGATAACTGAGAAATTTTTGAATATTTGTAAGATTAAAATAAACTGAGAAATTTTTACTATAATCTCAAAGATTTTCTTGAAAAATATTTCAGAATTTGAGGGATTGGAAAACTGAAAATATTTGACTTTTGACACTTCAAAAGTCAAAAACTGTCGACTTTTCTAACTCAGAAATTTTGAAGTTTTTTCCCCAGAAAATTTCTGGGATTATATCTTAATTTCTGAGCTTTTTGGCCAAATTAAAGTACTTTTTTGAATCTACAGTGGCCTAATACGCCTTGTGTAACTTTGTCTGTTTTATTAATAAACTCAATTTGCAGGAAAGGAGTTGCGTAATTTTAAAGACATTTTACGTTTCCGCAAGTTTTCTTAAATGATCTTGATTGAGATCAATAATTGATAACCTTCATCCTAATGATGATGATGATATTTTCTCTTCAGGCCCATCTGGACAGGATCACTCACCTGAAACTCACCGACAGCGTCATCATCTCGGCCTCCTACGACCGAACGCTGAAGCTTTGGGACAGAAACACCAAAAAACAGGCGAGCCACGACCTTTAGGGTCAAACCTGCTCCTTCCTGAAAAACACACTCATCCATCTGTTCTGCTGGATTTAATCCTCTGTTTCTAGTAAATAATCTGTGCTCTGATTGTGTTTCAGGTGGGAATGTTTGTGTGTGGGGGCCCGGTTCTGTTTTTGGAGCTGAATCCAGGAAATCCCAGTGAGCTGGTCTGTGCTGACGGACGGGGGAAGATTTATTTCCTCTCTTGGAAAGATTAAACCTCCGAATAAATCTGCTAATAAGGCTGGGCGATTAATCAAGCTTATTGATTATTAGAATTTTTTATTTTAGGAGATTTAATTTCTGCACAATCTGGATTTTTTTCCCCACCATGGCTCAAAGTGATGTCACCATGCCCTCTTCGACAAAATATTAGGGCCACGCTACGTTTTTTTAAAATTAGTTAATTATGAGAATAAAGTCCTAATATGACAAGAATACAGTCGTATGAATATGAGAATGAAGTTGTACTATAATAAAGTGGAAGCGTTAATGTTACCAGAATAAAGTCGAAATTATTATGACAACTAATACATAAAAAAGGGATTAAATGAAGAATGTTGAGCATCTTGTGAATTTATACTTTGGTTTCAGTTTTACAAATAAGGAAATACTTTATGTTTTAATATAGTAGCATCAAATTTTTCAGCAGGTTTTTGAGCAGATTGTGCAAACACAAACTGAGTTTATTTTGAAGAAGAAACACAAACTGAGCTGCTCATGTTGGATCTTGATGCTTCTTTTCATTAAAATAACTTTTTTTTGTTGTAATATACATTTTTTTTTCCTGATAAAATTGTATTTATTCTGTTTTATTATGACTATTTTTGTAGCTAAAGAAAATTAAACCCATAGCCTGGCCCTAATACTCTGTCGTACAACGCACAGAAGGAATAATTTAAATGGAAAAAACACTTTTTAAAGTGTTTTCTATCATTTATAGTTTCATTTTTAGAAAAGAAATAAAACAAAAGATTAAAATTGGATTTGTTATGAAAAAAATTGGAGATTATCGCCCAGCCCTTGCTGCTAAAATTAGACGGTAATAAATAACCAGTCTGTTTACCAAAGATTTGTTTTTGTTTTGCAACGTGTAATACTTGAATACTTATTGCAAATTAATATAACTTCTTATATTATTCTGTGTTTACAAGGCGGGGAATCTGTTGTGCTTTATGTTGTGCCTGATGACATTTATTTTATTTATCTTCAATAAATGGGAAAAAAGATGTTAAACTCTTCTTTCTCTTTTCTTGCAGTAAATCTAATATTTTCTTATTTTTAACAAATTCTATATATTGAAATTTAACATGCTTAATATTTAACATATTAAGTATTTTTAAAAGATAATCCAAAGTGTAATTTTAGTAATCTATTTAATGCAAAGTATATTAGAATTTTTTTCTATAGTGTGTCAAAAATGCATTATAAAACTAAATATTGGAGGCATGTTTTTAAAAATGTATTTCACATTTTGACTATAATCTTGAAAAATGAACCATTTGATATTAGAAATAATTAAAATATGCTCAGGTACATTATTTTTTTCACCTGGGTTACCTGCGCAGTTCTTATTTATGATAGTTGCAGTAAACATGATTTTATCTTTAAGGTAAGGCTCATTTTTGTTCAAGGCATAATATTTTATAAAATAGTTGAAGTTGTAGATGGTAATATCTGCTTATTTTTAGTGAACTTTTAAACGTACCCTATAAATGTTTTCATCCTATTTAGTTGAAAAGGTGAGTGGATTACTTTGGAAATGGTGATTCATTATAAAAGCAATAAAGTAGCAGCAGAGAAATCAACACATTTGTTGTTTTTAATTTATAAGAAATGCAAAATATCCTAAAATTTACTAAAATACATTTTAAAATATTGAAGATGTAGGATCATTGAAAGTGTTTTTTATCTTTGACAATCTGTCTTGATGCACTGTGTTAAAAGAAAATAATTTCTTTGTGAAGACATTTACAAATCTAAAGACTTTTTTTATTTTGGCTATTGTAAAAAAAAAATTAAATCTATCTAAATCTAAGATTTCTTGTTTTCTTTCGTCAGATTTCCCGTTAAGATGAGCAAACTACAACATTCTTGTGATATATTAAGTCTGATTAAATTTACTTTGCATGAAGAGTTTAAAAAAAATCTAAGTTCTTGAGACTTAAATGGGAGCAGACTGAATTTTGAGACTCGTTTTTTTTTGCTGTTTTTGTAATATTCGTTTCGACCACTAGAGGCGCTGAAGTACAATAATAACACCATACAGTAAACGGATTAATTCAAAGAATCGCCTCATGTTCTCAATATAAAACAGACAACTTTGGTTTTTACGTTCTCGCATCATCTGTCTTCTGCTTCAGCAACACATTTTTTTCTGCCAACCTACAGATTAAATTGGAATATTTCTAAATTTATGTACATGTGTATATATAAAGTTGATTTTATTTTTAGAATAGTAAACGTTTAAGTATGCAAGTACACTGCTAGTGTACTAGGTGTATTCTCGTGGTTCATATTTTAGTTAACATCTATAGTATCTCACAAGTCCCAATTTAGTTTAAGCATACTTTAAGTACACTTTTATGAATTATTAAAACTGAAATATATTATTTTTGCTTGTTGATTATTTGTATCCCTGTTCCTTTATTATTTATTCACTTATTCTACAAATTTATCTGTAAAATACATAAAATGCTGATGGGTGGATTGATTTAGTTTTTGAACGACGCTTAGTTTTCCGAGTCGTCCTCAAACGCAGCACCACCTTTTCCAGGTGAGACTGACACGCCCCTCTCTCCTGGACCACAGCTCACAGGTGAGGGAAACTAAACCCTCCAGTCTGAAGGACGTCCGACACAGAAAAAATAATCCTTTTTGAAGTCAATCCCCTCACATTCCCACAGATTTTTTATTATTTTAAATTCACAGATCAAGGAAATCTTTGGACACGACGAATATTTTTTTTTTAGATTTATTTTATTCATCTGAACGGAGGGATTTGAATCCGATGAGGAGGATTAATGGTACGTTAATGATCACATTTTTTGTTGTTATTCATACCGGCTGATTAGTTATTAAAATTATTGCCTTTGGAACTGATTTACCGTCATCACTCTGACAGGATCCATATGATCAACTAGATCTGGACTTGGAGTGCGAAGATGGAGGATCTGTCGCTGTGAGTAACTGTGTTGTGAAGTTAACTTTTCCGTTTTTCTTTTTTTTAACCTGATCGAGACCCGGAATTAACTGGTAACAGATTCTGGTACCCATCGGGCTCGAATACAAACAGGTGGAGTGGATAAAAAGATCCTAATTTTAAACGTTTGCTGTTTCAAAGCATTGCAGCCAAGGGCGGCTCTTGGATAACTGGCACCCTGGGTGGACTGGCTGTTAATGAATTAATGTGTTGGTATTAACAGTCTTCTAATGTTGGTGAAGGTGAAAAATTTTTGGCATCTTTTGCTTTTTAAGTCTATTTTTAATAGACGTTCACATGTAACAGATGTCTAACTTTTGTTTTTCTTCCAGGATGTTTCGATTTCCTCACAACACCCTGAATTGTCTACCAGCAGTGACAGCTTAACAGAGAATAAACCATCAAAGGTACTGCTTTTGTTATATTTGTGTGATTTTTACGTATTTATTTTCATACAAACAAGCTGGAAATTGTAAACTTTTTTTCCATTTCAGGATAAATCAGGAATATTTGGTGGAATACTGAAGCGATCGCCCCGACCAGGACACACCCACAGGCCGTCTCAGGTGAACAACTTTTACTTTTCATTAAAACAGTAACAATGATATCAACTACATCTCTGTGTGCAGTAAAATAATCCTGTGTTTCCATGTTTTATCCAGGATCTCCTGGACTTTTCAGCTGATGATGAAAACACCAACACGAAGGTGAGTCTCATCCCATCGGATTAGGATTTTTTTCCCTGAATTCAGCATTTTAAATAACTGCAGCACATATTTTAAGACTAAAACACGGCCAAATGGGAACTAGTTGTTTCAGGGGAGGATTTTGACCAGTTCAATATACTATTTTTTAAGGTGAGGAGTTTAGTGAAATGCTAGGCTAACATTAGCATGTATTCACTCAGTTTTGATAAGACTCATTGATAATTTGACTTATAAAGTTTTTTGTTGTGATTTGTGGTAGTTTTTTTCAGTGATCAGTCATTTCAGAGGAGTTTAGCCAGTTCTAATCTGATACTTTAATCTTAATTCCATATAAATTTTGAGAAGTAACCCAACATTTTACCAGTACTACCTGGTCAGTACTGTGATCGTGTCTCACTTAACGCGCTCCACTGTAGCTGTGTTTCTGTTGACCATGAAGACTCATTGATACTTTGGCTCACAAAGTATTTCGTCAACGTTCCGGTTTACCGTGTTCAGACAAAATTTAAAGAAAAACTGCTTCAGAAACTTGGCACTTTGCTTTGAACATCGTCAGTTTTACTGATCGGTGTTTCAGCTGCTCTCTAAAAATCTCCCTCACACAGAAAGATCTATGGGAATATTTCACTATATACAGCATTAAACATCGTTATAAAGGGTGAAAAACAGTTAAATCATTAGGGAAAGTGTAGATAATTAAAAAACACCTTCATCAAGACCTCCGTTACTTGTATGTACAATATAACACACATCACTGATTTCAGTTGTTTGCTGCTGTTTCCACTGCTGTCCTCGACCATCTAAGTGTTTTTAATCATTATATAGTCATCTTAATTCACCAAACCTAAGGTATGTGCACCAGGTGTCCAGATATATTTTGTTATCCAGCTGTGAGCGGCGCCTCTGAGCTTTTTGTTTTGGAGAACTCAAATGCGCCAGCATCAGCAATTTGGAAGAAGTGCTAAATCAGCACATTTCTGCCCGTCTAACCGACTGCTGCAACAGTCGAAAAAAAAAATCTCTGTTAGTTTCACTTTAAAACATAGCAACTTAAGCCAATGTTCTGGTTATATTAACTCCTTTATGGTGTTTTTGTTTGAAGGAGGCAGCAGGGAAGGTGAAAAAGTCTCCTAAATTCAATGGGATGAGAGCAGCGTCCAAGGTACTTATTATGCATCTATTTTCTCTTCTAATGTTTCCACATTATTGTAAGTTGGTTCATTATTTTTTAAATGTTCCTTTAGGAAGATTTGTCTGGACAAAGTGAGCTCTCAAAAAGCAACAACAGTCTTTCCAAGACAAAAGTGAGAATTATTTCAAACTAAAATCAGATTAATTTAAATGTTCAGGATGTCTTAAAACTTTAAATTTCTGTCTTCAGGAGTCAAGTGGGTTTGGTGCCATCTTTAAAAACCCTTTTGGAGCAAGAGCGCCATCTCAGGTGGGAGCAGTAACTGTTAATGCATCCTGCTTAAATATTATTATTGATAATAAGTGATCAATATTTCTGCCCTCAGGAGGATCTAAGAGCAGCCAGTGAGGTTTCTGAAAGCAGTGAGAATCTGTCTGAAAATCACACAAAGGTGAAGTTTTTACCTGATACATCCAGACTGAGCAGCTTCAGTCTTTATCGAGCTTAAAGGTGAGTTTCTCAGCGTTGATTTAGTTTGTTGTTCTTCAGGAAAAAGGATTCTTTGGTGGCATGTTCAAGAAAAAAGTCGCAAGGTCTCAGTCTCAGGTAAGACGTTAAATACAGTTCAGAAGATGTAAGATATTCATAAGATATTTTGTTCCAACTTTAGAGCAGAGAAAACATTACTGACGAGTTTCAGTTACCAAAAAATGTCAGAACTGTGATTTTTGAGCGATGCCACGCCCAGCTAGACGAGGTACCAGTCAGGACACCAGTAGAGTCAGTTTGTTGATCTAGTGACCATTTTTTAATCTGGTTATGGTGAAGGTGCTTCCAAAGCTACTTTAACTCTGTCATCAGTTGTTCACTGATGCCGACTCGCAATCTGAAGCCTTTAAATAAATTGTTTTACTAAACAAAGTCACCTAAGTTTCCCAGGTTGTTTCATGAGTTTTAACTTGTTTTTCTTGGTGCAGGATGATTTGTCTGTGGATGAAGAACTATCAGCCAGCAATGATAATCTCTCAGAGAAACCTTCAAAGGTAAATGATGAAATTTAAGCCATTTTTCTTAAAATTAAAGACTCCTACACACTGGATGTGATTTTTACCATTTTTCCAACAAACGTGGGAAAATGTTTGAACTTTCAGAGTTTTTATTACTTGTTATAAAATCTCGAAGAAAAACAATGAAGTGCCTTTTCCATTGATTTTGGTATTTAAATTACATTTTCTCATTGATTTACAACGTCATAACTTGAGTTTTGTCAGTATTTTAATAATTTCACTTTAATATCACAGCCAATGTATAAATGTGAAGTAATTAAAAACTCGAACAGTGGCTTGGTTAGTTCCCAAACAAAGAACGGACACTTCTGTTTTTATTCCTGAAGTTTCACGAGCAAAATAAATTTGACACAAAAAGAAGCCGTATTTAACATGTAAATCTAGTCCATATTTTCCAATTTTAAGTATAAATTTTGAAATTAAGTTGATTAAAGTTTGTTCAAATGTCAAAACTGTAAAAATGTCCCTTTAGCTCACAAACTGAAGGCTAACTTCACTACAGATTTGTAGTGACCTAGTTACATCTAGGTCAATGTTTTGTGCTTAAATGTCTTAAAAAGTTGAAGGAAAAAAACAAGAAATCTGGGTTTGGAAAATTGGGGAACTGAGAAAATGGATTATTTTTAAAACGCAAGTAATAAATGTCATTTAATAGTCTGTAAACTCATCATCACTATATTTTCTGCCAGGGTGGAGTGGCGGCGAAGATCCTGAAGAATCCCTTCACCTCGTCGGCTCAGGTAATTTTCCCGCATGAAGAACTCAAATTTTATATAAATTAAACTTCTTGTGATAATTTCTTATTGGTTACATAACTTTGGATTTTATTTTAGGAAAAGAAAAAATCTGAAAACGTTGGAGATCCAGATGAAACCAGCTCTGCTGCACCGAAACCTAAAACTAAAAAAGTAAGACTCCTTTAAATAGTTTTTTGGTCTTTTATTTGAACATTTTCACAACATCTTAATAATTATTGGTGAATAAATTCTTGATTTCTCCAGAGTGGCTTCAGTGCGATGATTAAGAGCACCTTCTACAGTGAGAAACAGGTGACACAGCATGTTTGAAACCCACAATTTAAAAAAATCCTGCACTACTTTTTATAAAATCCAGTTAAAATACTTTGAATTTGTAGTTGTCAGAGGATAAAAAAGTGAAAAGAGAGCTTGAATACCTTCTCACATCTAATGTAAATAACTAAAGAGCGATCTGCATTTTTATTCTTGTTTGTGTTTGAAACTAAAATGGCTTCCTCTGCAGGAGAAAAGCTCAGAGGCTGATGATGAGGAAACAGCAGAAGGAGATGGAGACAGTCAGCACAGCCACAAACAGGTTTGTTATGGAAATATTTAAATTTAAACTCATGTTTTTGGTCATATATGTATTTTCTTTTCTTTTTCAGAGTAAGCTGGTTGGGGCCATGACGAAGCTGAATCCATTCAGAGCTGCTGCACAAAAGGTTTGTGATTTAAATTTCAGATTGTGTTTTATTTCTCCATCTTACAGTGTTTTTATTTTATTTTTTTAATCTTTTTGTATTCGGCAGGAGAAACAGACAGGATCCGACGATGAAGAGCAAACTGTGAGCAGCGAGAAGTCATCAACTCACAAACAGGTACATGTGCATTTTTATTGTTTCTCTTTCCAATAGAAAGTATTTATTATTATGAATAATCCTTTTTTCACAGAGATCTTTCCCCTTCTTTAGGAGCTCATCTGTTTTAATAAAACTTTATAACTGTTTTAAACTCCTCTGCTTTGCTAGGACTGCAGCTGTCAGAGTAACATTTGTGCATCATTTTTAATGTTTCCCTCCTTAGAGCTCCATGGTTGAAGCCATGAACAAACTGAATCCGTTCCGCTCTGCAGCTAAAGTAACTATCCTGTTAATAAATGTGCTGGTGGGGTTGAAGGTGGCGGTGAGGGAAAATCAGGGCTGGGAAAGTTTCTGCTGATGATGATCAATGCTTATCCTGAAAGTTTTGCATCATAAAGACTCTTGCTACATATATCACCATAACCTGTTTTCTTTTTATTATTTGAATGTAAACATGAAGAAAGGAAGCCCAGTTTATGTAAGATGAGATGCTGTCATTCCTGTGATGGTGCTGCTCATGATGCTGCCATGCTTTGTGTATTTTCTATGACAGAGTATTATGACCATTTTAATTTAAAAAAATCATAAAATTAGGAGCATAAAGTGATCAAATTATGAGAATAAGTCATATTATGAGAACAACTTTGTACCAGAATAAAGCCATAATGCTGCGAGAGAAAAACTGTAATATTGTGAGAGAAAAAATGTAATATTGTGAGAGAAAAAATGTAATATTGTGAGAGAAAGGCCTTAAAATTGCAAGAGAAAACATGAATGAAGTTGTAGTTTTGCAAGAATAAAGTCATACAAGAATAAAGTCATACAAGAATAAAGTCATGACGTTACGAAAAGTCGTACAAGAATAAAGTCGTGATGTTACGAAAAGTCGTACGAGAATAAAGTCGTGATGTTACGAAAAGTCGTACGAGAATAAAGTCGTGATGTTACAAAAAGTCGTACGAGAATAAAGTTATATTTTGAGGATAAAACTGTAATAAAATAAAATCTTAATACTACAACTTTATCCTTTATTACTTTGACTCAAACTATTATGACTTGATGCTCCGTTCTAATTTTACTGAAATCTGTTGGGTTTTTCAATGTGGTCATTCGTGCTGCTAATTAAATTCAGACACAGTCAGACTTCTGTGTGGCTCCATAGCTTCCGGCAGGAGAAGAACGTTGACGTCAAACAGCAGCGCTCTGTTTACGGCTGTAATAACGGATGAAGCCGTTTATGGATCCGCCTTCGAGGCGGGGCTGTGAGGTGGAAGTTTCCAAGCTTCAGTCTCACAGAGCAGCCAACATTCAGTTCCTACAGACTAGCCTGCAGCAATTAGCAAACATCTGATGGAACTGTGCATCTGCTGAGCTCGTTATAGGAGCTACTTCTCAGTGCAGCGCTGGTAGAAATGTTGCTAAATGGTTAGTAGAGAAGCCGGGTTGTGATGACTTCCTCAAGGCGGAGTCTCGGAGAGAAAACGAGTTTTTAAAGAGAGAGAGGCCCAGTTTCAAGGCATTACAGCATTTTTATAACAACTGAAAGTGAAATAGAAAAATGGAAAAATGTTCCTGCAAAATACAAAATACCGCCCCTTTAAAAGCACTATCTTATCTACTTACTATCTACATTCTATAGTAAATACATAGAAAAAGACTTCATGCCACAACTCTTCAAATAGGAAATATAACGTTTGATTTCATGTTCACTTTAGAGCAGTAGAAAGTCTGTGATCATTTTCTCTACAGCTGAGAGAAATTAAATGTTTCTTCCTATTAAAACAACAAGAAATATCAACTGAAATGATAAATCACCATCTTAAATAGAAGCTCTGACAGGATTTCAGTGAAACACAGTGAAAAAAAGAACAGATGTCTTTTTGTCTTCTGCTCAGAAGGACACTGGGGACATGGAGACCTCTGCAGAGAACGGGAAGCAGTCGGAAAACAAGGCGGATCTGGTGAGCCTATTTTTTCCTTCGGTCACAACTAATCGATGACCACAAACAGGCGTGTGGAGCCGATCAACTTCTTACAAAAATACCCTCCAAACCGAAGCTCCTCCTCCTCCACTCTTCCTGCTACGTCACTCTTACTTTGCTCCTGACGGCTATTAAATCTTCACCTCCTGTTCTGGGACACGGAGCCATTTACTTTGTGCTTTTGTCCTTGGAAGGTCAAGAGTAATTTGATCCAGACAGAAAGGAAGGAAAAGGGTGAAAATCCTCCAGTCCTGCGCAGACAAAGAGCAGAGGTTTGCTGGCAGCCGTAAATATTTACATGTGGTTCTTATGGGAAACATTCTCACTTCTGTTTTAAATCTGTGCTGGGACTCAGGCGATGAGGACGACGTCCATGCATGAGATGGAAAAACCAAAACCAGAGGAGAAGGTGCTTTTTGTTTCCTACCTAAACTTGTGCATTCTTCTATTTTAAATGATGTAACAGTTAAATTTTTCTCTGCAGAAGGAAAAACTCCCTAGAGAGAAGAAGGGAAAATCTTCAGACCCTCCCGTTCTCCCACCCAGACCGTCAGAGGAGGTGAGAAATCTGCTCTTACTTTAGTTATATTTTTGTTTTGTATGTGCCATCTGTTGAAACTGTAACTTATCTTGGTTTAAGAAAGCTGCTGTGGTTACTTTTCAGGAAATGAGCAAAACTGTCAGACATCGCAAGAAAGACAAGCAAGAGGTTTGTACAGAACGTAAAAATGTCTGATTATTTCTCTCTTTGGTTTCACTGACGCTTCATTCTGACTAGTGAACATAAAACCAAGCTGCTTTTTACATTTTTCTAACATTTTTTAGGCATTTAACCTCAGACAAAAGCCTGTATCTAAACTTTACAATAAGGCTCCCCTTATAGATGCGTAGTTCATAGATATGTTATTAAATCATCTCTGAACACTTTATAAGGCATTAATTGTTTATTATGCATTAATTAAGGCCCGAGAAGAGTCAAAATCTACTAGTTTTTTTGCCAAATACTGAGCCAGATCTGTTCATTTATATGTTTTATCTAGTTATCTAAACATTTCAGACTACTTTGTAAGCACAATAGCATTTGTAAACGATTTTTAGCATATCGTCTGCTTCTCATCCTTAATTAATGCATGATAAACAGTTATTAATCATTCATAAGGTGCTTATATTACATGAATAAACACTTTTTTCATCTGTATTATTTTGGGGCTTTTTCATTGACTTAAAGATGGCTAACTTATAGTTATAGATGGCTGGCTAATAAAAGAAACTTTGCTCTACGACAATATTTAAATTGTGTTTAAATTTAGGATTTAAATTATCTCCTCTGCATATTAACTATTTATTTACTCAGGCTGCAAGAGAGAACAATATCTTCAGCAGATAATAGGAAGGCTAAACATGATGCAGCAGAGTAGCTAATTTTCTCCATATGAGCTTTTAACCATATGAAATACGATGGATAAGGAAATGTCTGGAGCTTTTTGGAAAATACACAAACTCCATGTTTGTACCAAAGCCACATAATCACTCTGTTCAATATGAGATGCTTAAGACCGTTTAAAGTGATAATGCCAAATTATTTTTGTTGTTTTTTAAATCTGCAAAGTCATGTTTTACAGTGATTGCTGTATTTCATACCTGCAGCTTGTTACACCTGCTTCTAAAATAGATTTTTATCAACATTTCATGGCAGAAAGGTTAGAAAAAATACTTTAATATCTTCTAAATTAATGCAGTACTCGGGCAAAAATTGTAGTTGGCTACTTTTGGTGTAGGGAGGTGAAAACTTTAGAGAGAGCACAAATCTGATACAAAACTGATCAGGTGCATCTAATTGTTTGGTTTTTATGTGTGGAAAGAAAATAAATGTCTGCCAAAGCTCCACTAACAAGGCTGTATTTCAGAAAGAGATGCAGTTTTTTTAAAATGTAAAAATTGTTTCCAGATTTTTTTTATTATTTAACTAAATTTCTTATTTTATTTTATAAATTTACAGCAGAGCCAATCAGGAGATGAAGCCAATGGAGAAGAATCAAATGGGACCAAAGACAAACCAGTGAGTGAATCGTCAGTTTCAGTTTGAACCTTGTTGCCCAAATTAATTCAAGACTTTTATTAACTGTATAAAATATATTTTTCTTCTGCAGTGTTCCTGCTGTCAGTGCATGAAATGAACTCTTGTATGTCAAGTACTTGCCGTTGCTGTTCAGTTATAATCTGGCTTGTCCAGTTCCTGCTTTTTTATCGCCTGCGTCATGCCAAACCCATGCAAAGTACATGTGACTCCCTCAGGCTGTTGTCAGAGGGAGTTCCTGCAAGCTCTTTGTTACACTGCAAAAACAAAATCTAACTGAGGATTATTGTCTAGCTTCTAGTACTAACATCTTAGGGCACTTGGGATAAGAAAAAACTAACTTACAAGTAACATTTCAGCAAGAAATAGGAGCTTGTTTTGAGTAAATAATTCCTTATATTGAAAAAAGACGCTTGTTTGCTAGTTCCACTAGCAGATGTTTTCACTTACAAGACATTTTACCATGTTATAAGTTAAATAATCTGCCAATGTAACTGTTTTCACATCAGTATTAAGGAATTATTGACTTAATGAAGCTCCTATATTTTGCTGAAAAGTTACTTCAAGTTAGTTTTGTTTTATTTCAAATGTACGAAAATGTTTGCAGTATAAACCAGACTAAATACTTGGTAAGACGAGATTTTTCTGTTCATATTCAGTTGGTTGTGTTAAAACTTTGGACTCTTTGTTTTTGATCTTTCAAGCATGAACATGTGAGTTTTCAGCTGATTTTTAAAGGCTATAATATGGATTTTACAACCGGGAAGCAGAAGCAGAAAGTAGGACAGGACATTTGAGCGAATAAACAGGCGCATACCTGCATGTGGAAGTTTCCTAATGAGTTTATAAAAAAATTGGAGCACGTTCAAGTCAGATGCCAATCGTTCATCCAAATATAAACAGCATCAGTTTCAGTGAAATGTAGTTTTTCAGGTTTCTTGTGTGACTTGGACCAACATGTGATGGTTGTGCACATTTCTGTTTTTAGGCCAAGGTAAAAAAACAGAAGAATCATCATAGACTCATACCACAAATTGGATTCAAGGTAAAATAAATTCAACACTCGGGTTAGAAAAGCCTCTGATTTTGGATGTAAAAAGTAAAATCTGCCCTGTAAAGTGGTATATTTGCTGTCTGCATAGATTCAAGCTAATTTATGGTAATTTATGGCAATTTTACCCCTTCATAATGATACCTATGTAGCTTTTCGGCATTTTATTACTGGTTTATCCAACCAGCAAGTTAAACTCCATTTATATTCTACTAAACGGGAAAGTGGTAGTGCATCTCCAATAAATGAGTCTGATAAAACATAATTTACTTCCCTTTCAGGTTTCTTCTATTTTTCATATTTTAATTATAGGCTCTTAGTGTTATTTGGTAGAGTCCCAAAGCCGCAGGATTTTAGTTATTTTTATAGAAATAATCAAAGGGAGAGAAGGCACTGTTAGCTTAGCGCCGCTAGCTAACTGTTGCTACATTTAGCATCTAGCATCCGCTTTCAAGCTTCTTGAACTAAAGCAGTGGCATAGTTTTTTTATTAGCCATTTAATTATGTCTACCTTAAAATGTAATATACTTTGACTGATTAATCAAAAACTGCATATTTAAATACAGTTTGAGATAATTTTCTTTGGCATTTGAACCATCTTTATCTCATAGGCATAAGCTAGCTAGCCTTGTTTTCATGAACTCTGTATTTTGTGTTGCCTCATGTTTTGTAATGTTAATGCTTATTTTAGGCTGGGTCTGATGATGAAGGGCTGAAAGATGAAGAGTCTTTACCCAAAGAGGAAGATAAAGATGAGGACAAAGAGAAACCAGAAAAGGTCTGATATATTTGTTTATTTCTGACATAGATTAAATACTAACTCAATTAGCAGCTGCAAGTAGAACATTTCTGCATTTAATTTAAAGGAAATATGAGTTATTAGGGTTTTTTGTTTGCTTGCTTTTAGTCGAAAGTGAAAAAGCCAAAGAAACCCAATCCTTTCATGCCCCGGGTCAAGGTAAGGCTCAAAAATTTTACTTGTACGAACTTGTTTTTTCGCATGTCTGCATGTCCCATATGCTAGAAAAATCTGACTGATGCTTTCAGATGGAGATTATGTTAATCAGTCCATATTTTTTTTAATTTGTTTTTGTAATTCAAACACTAGAAAATGGGTTCCTTTCAGTTCTTCCTTTGCTGATGCATGTTATAACATCATTTTAACTGTTGAAAATGTTAAGTATTCAACTAAATAATATCTAATAAATTTTTGTACAGCACCTAAATCCCTTCTTCTACTTGCAACTTTTTATTATTTGTCAGGCTGCATCTGACGATGAAGGGCTCAAAGATGAAGAAGAGGAAATTAAAGAAGTTGAGGAAGAGAAACCAGAAAAGGTCTGTTTTGTTTTGCTGTGTGTGGGTTGTTTTTTTTTTTTACCTGTCTGGCAGGTAAAAACAACACAGTAATTATTTCTTGTTTTGTTTTCTTTAGCCCAAAGTCAAGAAGACAAAGCAACAGAATCCCTTCCTGTCTCGGTTTAAGGTAAAGCTAGGAAATGCGACTTAAAGATGTCCAAATGCTCCCATCTATTTGATTAAAATAATCAAATTGAAGATACTTAAATTTAAACAAACTGTGGTTTCCTTTTCAGTTAATCTTTTTTAACTACGTATTGCTTGATTATGCATATATACGAAGAGTGATTAAAACGAGGAAGATCACAGTTATGATGACATCAAATTAATTACTGTTCAGATCAGAATATAACTAAAAAGTACTTTGTAGGACGTCAAGGAAATGCAAAAGCAAAATATAAAGCACATGTATAAAAGAAACAGATGTTAAAGATATGAAATGTATCAAACAGTTCATTAGGTGGATAATTTGTTCAAAATTGGCTGTAAACAAATTGATTTAAAGGAGCAACAGTTTCTGCACATCTCAGGTTTTCAGGGAGTTTCTTCCAGAGCTGAAAAGTAAACATTAAAAATCATGTTTTTGTTTTTTTTTAATTGTCAGGGTGCGTCTGATGATGAAGGGCTGAAGGATGAAGATGAGTCATCGTCTACAGAGGAAACTAAAGACAATGACAAGGAAAAACTAGAAATGGTCTGTTTTGTTTTTTGACCTTTTTTGCTGCTTCTAAGCAAATGTTAATTTGACTAATAACTGAAAATGGAGCGTTTCTGTATTTCAATTAAAAATAAAATAACTTTTTTTTTCTTCTTCTAGCCCAAAGTCAGGAAGCAGAAACACAATCCTTTCATGCCTCGGCCTAAGGTCAATATCAAAATGTGACTAATTCTGCCATCTAAAAATAATTTAAAATAATAAAGGTGGAGATGATTTTTCTTTCTGTTCAGAAATTTTAGAGTTTTTAGTAAACATTTTTCTGTAAAAAAACAGAAAAACATTTTTAAACATTAGTTTAAAAATGTTTCAGTTTTTTAAACTAATTCTAATCTAAATCTAGACAAAAAAAAGAAGCAGTAATTGTTTTAAAATGGTCTCTTCATCAATTAATTTTACAAACACCTAATATATATATATATATATATATATATCTGTTATAGCCAGCAGCTAAATGTTGTTTTATTTTTGTGGCTAATTTTCTTTCTTTTTTTTTTTTTGTCAGGCTGCATCTGATGATGAGGGACTAAAAGACGAAGAAGAGTCTTCAATTAAAGAGGAAATTAAAGAAGATGGGGACACGGAGAATATGGACAAGGTTAGGTTAGGCAAAAGGAACTTTGTGTTTTAATTTTATAGGCATGGCCTGATCCTGTTTTTGTTTGTTTTTAGCCCAAAGTCAAGAAACCAAAGAAGCACAATCCTTTCATGCCTCGGATCAAGGTAAGAGAAAAACATGAGAGTTATTCAAACCATATCCAAAAGTTGTAAACATTTCTGATTAGAAATGATCCACTTTAGTTTTTATTATTATTACTGGAGAGTATATTTAAAAAGCCTTTCTGCACTACTCTAGGTAACTGTACTTAGCAGGCTGACTCATCATCATGGCTTCCTTTCAGTTTCTTTGACTAGTCCGTGCCTTTATTTGGTTGAAAATAGAAGCAGGACACAACATTGCAACATGCAGATTTCACTGCAGCTTTGGTTTTGTTTAACAGTACATCTCAAGGTCTGGGGGAACTCTTCTCTGATAAAAATGTTAGATAATCTATTTGCACCAATGCACCTGTAGGACGTAGTTCTAAAGAAACTGGGTGATACATTTGGTTTAAAACTGCAGACAACAATCATGCTTCAGTTTCAGCTGCATTTATAAGTCAGACTCAAGAAAAAGTTCAAAGAAGTTGACAGTTGAATATTAAAACCAAACAAAGAAGTAATTAACTTTGTAATAACTAGCATTTGTTTATGGAAAATGTGTTTTAGGTGTTTTTCGTGTCATCTTTCCAGTAGATTGTCTGGTTTAAGGTTTCCAGTGGCTTGAATGTCATGAATCCAGTACTTTTCTGCCATGTCGTTTACATATTTATTAAGATTTATATCAGTTTTTCTGTCACGTTTGAAGTAGTTTACATGTGCAGTTTGTGCTTTTAATATTTCTACTACTTTTCTTACATCAGGTTTCAGTTCTTTGCACTTTTCAGGTGTCCCTCGGTTATGTGTAATTTGCACAATTAATAATTCCAGTAGTTTTCCATTCAGGTTTAGAGATTTTTCTGCATGTTTGCATATATATTTATGACTGTAATACTTTGTAATATCACAGTTGACACGCTGTAAAATTTAGTAAAAACAAAAAAAATAAATTAAATACCAACGGAGTGCAATCCGTTTGGTTCTTAAAATATTCTGAACTGTTTCCACAACAAGAAGTAGCTACTGCCGATTGAAACCACTATGTGGCATATTCCAAAAATATTGATGAGATTTCATGACAGGAAAGATGTTGACGTGACACCTGGAGTTTGTTCATGCAACCATAAATGTGATGGTTATGGTTGTATAAAAACTTTGATAGTTGCTGCATTGTTTGAACTAGTTTTAATTTAGTCGTTGATTTAAACTCTTTCCTCACCAGGTTATTTAGATGAGGTTAGTCCAACGATTCACTGCAACCTGTCTGCACCGTCTGACAACCATTAGCTGACCATAAGTCTGAACTTTGAACTTCAGTGTCAGCATTAGGACAAACATGATTTTCTGATTGTTTTGTTTGTTTTCAGGCCAAAGTCATTCAGAAGAACAGACCAGACGGAGCTGCAGCAGAGGTGGAAAATATTTTCTTTATAAAATAAATAGTTTTTAATGTATCTTTTGTTTGTTACCCCTTTTCCTCTCTGTTGCATGAAACCTACATGTGAAGTACATGTATTTAGTACATGATATGTTTCTTTTCAGTCTTCCTCATTGTGTTTCAGTCACTTGACTCCCACCCTCCTCCACCCTGAAAACAACCTCCTATTCTCCCATCACACACTTCGCCTCCAGAGTAAACGCTCAGTTTCCAACAGAGACTATTGTTGTCAGTGTGTTTTTCTTTTTTTTTTTGTTCCTCTCTGCCACTGCTGACATGAAACCCATCCCCACACCGTCATACGTGTTTGTGCGTGCCCATGAACATGGGAAGATGAGAAGATTAGGCTCAAATGTGCCCAGACTTGTTTCTTCACTTCTTGTTTTCAGCGGCTTCATGGAAGCTTTTGGTCCTTTTTTTTTACTTCTGCAAAACGGCGTAAAGCAGTCTGCAGAGTCGAAATTGTTGTAACTCGAACTTCCTCCCTTTTCTCTGAGCAGAAATAGCGAAACCAAGAAACCATAACTCCTCACATGCTGGTGTTTAAATTTACAACGGTCTAAACATACACCTGTCTCCGTTCTTCTGTACAGATTTGTTTGTAAAGTTAAGCTTATTCCCTTGTTTTAATTTGCTTTTATCTTCTCAGAATGAAGAACCCCAAAGGTCTTTATTTGACCGGCTGGAGGATTTACGTATGGAGCCCTCAGGTCCAGAAGACGGCCAGGTTGGTTGTTGGGACTAAATATGTTGACGACTCAGGGTCTGTTTGCCCCTTTTCCAGTTTTGTCCCAACAATACATCATTTTAATATCTGTAAACAAACCAGTTAGCCATTCCTACACTTGTAATTAGTTATTGTATATTAATTTATATCTCTTTGCAGTCAACTGTCTAAAGAATTATGACGATAGAAGTTTCAAGAGATTCTGCAATCTTTGTTATATTGGTGTAATTTTTTATTTTACTGAATATTTTGTGGTGGCAAGGAGGAACTGTGGTTAACACTGTTGCCTTGAAGCAAGAAGGATTGAATCCCACCTGAGCTCTTTCTGCATAGTGTGTTTATGTTCCCTCCATGTGTGTGTGGTCTCTCTGGGTCCGTTTGTGGAGGTGAGAGTGCGCAATCAAACTCTGATTCAAAACGGTTCGGTTGAAGTGAACTCTGGTGTGTTTCGAATGCATATCTGAATAGCAAGCGGACAGGAGACCGCTCCAAAGGCAGGAAGCATGCTACAGTGCAGGGCATTCTGGGTAAATTCAACCAAAACAAACATGAGTCTAGCCAGTGAAAGAAGAGGAATTTTACAACCGCTAAAATCTGATGCTACTCCATTTGTGTTTGCATTCTGTGAATATGAAAGTTGCGCTCAGTGACATAAAAGGTTTTTATGTCATTTCCTTCAGTGGTTATCGGTTCAGCGCCCCCACAGGCGAGGAGGTGAACAGGTTTTTCAATTAGTTTGGTTCGTTTGACAGTGCAGTGTGAAAGTGAACTGCAGCAGCTGAAAATGTAAGAAATGTTGCAACTTTGATCCTCAATCAAACCGAGTCTACTGGACTATCAGGTGTGAAAACATCCTTAGGTTAATTGATCACTTTAAATTCGTCTTAGGTGTGAGTGTTTATGTGCATGCAACCTGCCCAATAACTGCTGGAAGTGCCCACCAGTTCACCTTCTTCTGTTAAATTCACACCACATGATTTCTACCAATATGTCATCAGCGGCGTTTCCCTTTACATCAGAGCCACATTAAAAGTGTACAAAACCCTAGATGCTAACCAATTTCTTTTGTACATGGTTGGCTACTTGATGGTTGGAAGATTTAATAATAATTAGACTCGTACCTTCTCCAAAATTCAATGTTTGATTGCAAATTACTAATCTTACATACTTATAAAGTATGTGAACCTTAATCTTCCTACCTTGTATAGAGTATTTGCTGCAAATCTGCAAATACATAGAGGGCTACTAGTTCTTATGGTTGACGGTTGCTGTCCATCGCCACTGTTGTCCAATAAAATGACTAGTTTGGTGTGCATCCCTGTCTGTTTGTACAGCATCCTATGACCATTTTCACAGTGAAATCAACTTAATAAAAGTGACCAACTGCCTGTTTTTTGACCAGCTTTACAAGTCAACAATGGCAGCAAGTATGTAAATAAAAATCTGTCTCTTTTAGGATGTGGAGGATCTCATGGACTGGTGGAACACTGTTGAACGTAAGTCTTTTTTTTTCTATTGTTTTAATTTTTTTTATCTGAAAATATGAGGAAAAGTGTTTTTAATACTCTAGAGTTGTTTTCATTTAAGTATATAACTCACTTGAGTAAAATCAAAATACTTCCAGTTGTCCTCTCCAGCGTCCATTTTTAGAAAAAAGACTATTTCCTGCTTCAACAAACCAAAAGCTTTTAATAAACCTGCTATAAAACCGTCATGGGTCACTGGAAACGTCTGGGAACAAAAGGCTGACCTTGCTAATGTTCACCCGGCCCACTGGGAGCTTATGGTTGTCATAGCAACACATGGGTGTACCGCTCATTAACATGCTGTTGACTTTGTGTTACCCATGAAGTGATTCATAACATTACTCCTTATTGCTTTGTTTTTTTGTTTTTTAGCATGGGAGGACACGCCTCAAGATGACGACATGACAGAAAAGGAAGAGGCCAAGTAAGTTAAAGCAGAAATGGACGTCAATTAAACCTTTTGAGTGACGCTTTGCAAATATTGTTCACTTATTGTCTATAATCATGCTGATATACTGTATTATAAACTTCTCCTGAATTGATTTACAGTCTGGCAGTCAAACAAACAAAAAAAAAAAAACAACAAACTACAGAGCAGCAGTTAACAGTTGTAAAATTAAATAGCTGAAATTCACAACATTAATTATAAGTTATGCAAAACATGGCAAAATGTCTAAATGCTAAGATATCGTACTAGTTTACACCGAGCCGATGCTGTTATATACCACAGTCACAAACTGCAACAGAAAAAAGGGGAGGAGCTGGCAGTTACCGGTTGCTATGGTAACCACCAACTGCCAAGAGCAGCAGAGCTTGTGTCAGTAAAAATCAGGAGAAAATGACTTTTTGACTAAATGAATTTGAAGAATAAGTAAATAGTAAAGAAAATAAGAATAAGTAAACAATAAGTAAAGAGATTTTGATAAATTTCTCGTCTATAATAATATTAAAAAAAAAATTCCCACAGAAATCAGATGAAAGTGCTGTTTGTTGGTTGTCACGTTTTTAGTCATCGTCTTTTTCTTGTGTCAGGGCCTTCGCTGTAACTGCAGATAAGGTCCAGAAGGGAATCCGAGTTTTCAACAAGCTGTTCTCCGAGCGAGCCGAGAGCCTCTGGCAGCACGTCATCGACCTCAACGCCATCGCCGACGGCCTGGACAAATTCAACAAGAAGACAAAGATCGCTCAGATCACCGGCGGCTCCACCAGCGCCATCGGGGGCGTCGCCACCATCACCGGCCTCGCCCTGGCTCCGGTCACCATGGGAACCTCCCTGATCATCACAGCCGTCGGTTTAGGTGTCGCCACGGCTGGTGGGTTAACTTCGGCCGGCGCCGGCATCTCCAACCAGGTCAACAACTCTTTGGACCGCAAGAAGGTGGAGAAGATCGTCGAGGACTACCAGGAGAAGATCGCCGACCTCAATAAGTGCCTGAAGTTTATCAAGCAGGGAATAGAGAACCTGCGCAAGTTCGACCTGATCAAGATGAAGAAAAGCGCGTACAACCAGGACTTCCCCGCGCTCACAAGTCAGTTCTACGAGGACGGCGCCATGGCGGGGAAGGCCATCCTCATCAACGCCAACGAGATCATGCGTGTGGTGCAGATTGCCAACGTGGCAGGCAGCACGGCCGCCAGGGCGGTCCAGATCGCCAGCATGGCCACAGGCGTCCTCACGGGGCTCTTTGTCGGTATGGACATCTACTTTGTAGCTAAAGACTCTAAGGAGCTGAAGAAAGGGGCAAAATCAGAGTTTGCAGCCAAAATCAGGGAGGTGGCCACACAGCTGCACGACGGGCTGGTGGAGCTGAACACCATCCGGGAGGAGCTGCACAGCACCACACCAGAAGGCATCGCAGACGGCAAAGAGGGCGAGAGCGAAAAGAAAGAGACAAGTGAGAAACATGAAGAGAGTTCAGATGAGGATGAGATCGACCGGATTAAAAAAGCTATAAAAAAGGACCTTGAGAGCCGGGAATATGTCTGACTCCAGCAGGCTATTATGGGGTGCCGCTTGCAAATGTTACAGTAAGAAATTAACAATATTTTTGGTTTATTGAGCCTATCATAGAGGAAAAAAATCAGGGATTCATTTTTCAAAGTCATATTTTGACAATTTTATTCTACATTTAAATAATATAGTTACAAACTAAATATTGAATTGGGCTAAATTCTTAGTTTACAGATTAAATGCTAATTAAATACTTAGATATGCAAACTGACAAAATATTTAGCTAGCTACTTAAATATTTAGTTAGCACACTAGCCTGATCTGCTAACTAAATATTCAGGTTGCTAGCTAAGTATTTTAGCTAGCAGGCAGGCTGAATGTTTGCTAGCCTGCTAAATATTTAGGTAAATACTTAGCTAGCAAGATAAATATTTTGTTAGCTGGTCAGGCTAGTGTGCTAGCTAGATATTTAGCTAGAAAGCTAAATACTTAGTTTTGAAATATCTTGCTACCTAAATATTTAGTTGGTACAGCAGCCTGGTTTCTAAAAGAATATTTAGCTTGCTGACTAAATATTTTGGTCCAAGCTAAATATTTAGTTTGAAAAATAAATATATAGTTTGGAAAATAAAAATTTAATTTGGATCTAAATATTTAGTCTACAAACTAAATATTTATCTTGTGAATTAAATATTTTGTTTGGAACTGTGAGATTTATAAATGTATGAATAATATGGTGAAAATGTGACTTTGAAAAATGAACTCCAGTTGTTTTCTGTATGTCAGACTAAATAAGCCGAAATATTGCTGTTAATTTTTGTACTGTGTAACTTTATAATCTGTTCTCCATAGCAGACTGCGTTAAACTTTAAAGTTTTAACAGGACTCTGAACTTTACCCATTCTGAACTTATTTAAAGCCTCCCGCTGCTGTTTCCTCTCCAGTCTCATTGAGGAGACTTTCAAATTGAAACTGACTCGTTCTAATCAAAACACTACATCAGTAGGAAACCAATCTGGAAGTTGTGCCATTGTGTGAAACGTCTGTTTGTTTCAGCAGTGAGATTTGAAGATTTAATTGATTCAATTGTGATATTTTTACAGACCTTTTTTTTTAAATAAGGTCACCCAGATTTGGGATTTTTACGTTACGTGATGATGGGTGCCTTTTGTTCAGTGATGCCTTAAAAAGTGAACACTGGAGGTAATTTTTAAACTATCAGTAGTGAAATTATTTTTTTTACAGAAACTGGTGGATATAAATCTGGATTGATGAAAAATTTTGTTTCAGGCTTGAATAGCTTGTTAGCTAAATATTTTGAATAATCTTAAACATTTTGCTGGGTTTTGCAACATTTAAATCTGCCTCCTTATTTTATCAGTTTTAATGCCCATAGTTACATTTTAGGGTGAAAACCGTTAACAGATTAGGTAATATGTTGTTTCTTTACCAACAAATTCAGAATGAAGAAGTCAAAAACTTAACTGCTAATCATTTAATACAGATTATTTTTTATTTTAATGCACTTTGTTAAAATGTGAATCAGAGTTTAGAGTTTTGGCACCATTTATTTAGTTTAGTTCATGTTCTTAGCCACTTCTTGTTCTCTGTTGTCATTTGACGAGGATAAATCTATGAACGTTCTTTTTATCTGAACAAAAACTTATTAATCCAGACTTTTTTATGAAATGTTAGCTGGTAAATCTCACGCTGAATGATTATGAATGCCACTGGTTTCCATCACTGAATTCAAGTCTTTGGGTTTTTTAATATAAATCAGTCTTATTGAATTGTTTAATATCAATTAACTGATACATTTTAACTAAGCTAATTTAAGCCAAACAGACAGTTATATATCCATTATGTGAGGTATGCAAATTATGATATTTTCCTCTACTGTTACTTTAGAGTTAAATGTTTTCTTTAGGTTCTGGTGCCTGTTGGAAGCAAATGTTTATTTATTGGTCTTCTTTGTTCTGTAAAGGCTGGATTAGAAATACTTGTACGTGCAATAAACTGTCCATGTGAGTTTAAATACATTTTTATTACAAAATTAACTAGTGGCTCCACGTCTGTACATTTTGCAGGTTTTGCAATTGAACAAGCACTTTGATGCCTCATCTAGTTTAATTCAGCCAGAAAACGTCAATTGTTTTTTTGTTTTTTTTTGGAACCCCATCCCACCCCGCATAAAACAAAACAAAACAAAAATGATGCTGGTCCTAGATCAGATACGGTGGGGCCCAAACCGATTGTCCATAATCTCTGCCGCCTTATAGTCTGACTGTTTTATAAAGATCTTTACCTGGGAAGAAGTGCATGCAAAGTCGGAGATTTCTTAATTATTTACAGGAATTACAGTACATGTATATATTTTAATTTATGCAGTGGTAAAAGCCTTTTTGGGACCATAAGCATATTTTCATTTGGAACTTCCCATACCAACATGTCAACACCAGATGCTTCATCAATCTTAAGCTACTTGTGTGTAGCGTTCCTGCTATCATTAGCTTACATCACACCATTATGACTGTTGATTTTAATCTTACAGGAGTAGCAAATAATAATAATATGAATTTTAATGCATCCTTCACTATAAACTACAGGTCTTCCATCAGTGTTTTTTTTTTTTTTAATCTGTTGAACAAATTTTCCCTTTTCCTGCCCAGTGTTTTGTTCAACGTTCGTCCAACAGGACGATGATTCCAGTCATCAAAACTGGTTTTGTAATAGATGAAGGAGGCTTACATTAAAATATTCCGTCTACCCTATTAATAGCTTTGTGAATTATGCTCAAGATAAACTAGATCTTTGCCAAAAATAATCATATTTAATCTTCTGTCAAGAACAGTGACTAAATTTAAGTTGATGTCACATTATGAGGTCTCTTTGTATGTTACTGAATGATATTTTCCCAAATACCAGTGTGTTTTTTTTATATTGCACACTGTAGAAAGAGTTACTAAAATGACTTGGTAAACCAAAATTATGACATTTATACCAGTGATAAACTTCTCACAGCAACTATGTGCTAGTCTGGGTGTGCCGTGGTGGCACAGGGGTTAAGCACAGTCCACATATGGAGGCCTCAGTCCTTGATGTGGCCATCACAGGTTTGATTCCTGGCCTGGCGACCTTTGCCGCATGTCTTCCCCTTCTCTCATTACCCACTTTCCTGTCAACTAACTATCAAATAAAGGCCACTAGAGCCGATAAAACCTTTTAAAAAATATATATGCTAGTCTGACGAAGCTATACGCTTTAACTTTTTTAGTATGTTGTGTTTGAATACAACATATTTTGCCTTCTTGAAATCAACTAAATTTAGAAACTTTCACTGCATGTTTTTAATTAACTTTGTTGGACTCAACATGTGACAACAGAGACAGTCACCCATGTGAAGAGAAGCTGACGTGGTGGAACAAGAGTTTCAGGTACCAAATTCTGTTATTTCAAACCACCATGTCCTGGCAGGAACTTTTTCTTTAATTATATGAAAAGAGGAATGCTTTCTGAGAGATACACCTGTGGCTAAATGATCTTCTGGGAATTCCTCAAGTGATATTTAACGCACACAAGCAGCCAGTGATTTTCCACACTGGTTATTGAGCATTTCAACTCCAACTTCTGCCTTTCCCCCCCCTGCTCCTTTTCTAATTTTAGATAATCACTTTTAACATCTATTGACATGCAAAAATCATGACTATTGTGAAACTTGTGAGTCACATGCAGACACAGGTAGCCACCAAACTTGACCACGCCCTCAGGTGAGTCTCAGGTGAATTCACAGCCAGGAACCAGAGAGGAGACAAAAGTTCTCCAATCATCTTTTCTTCCTGAAGGAAGGTGAGAAACTTGAAACGCAGAGAAGTTTGATCAGTGGTCTCTTTTCGTTGGTCAGGAAGTGTTTTTCTTATGCAACAGGAAGTTTCACCAAGATAATTTTGTCACAGAAGCTCTGCAGGTGTGTTTGAGTTTGTTTAAAGATGCTTTGTTCCACAGGTGAAGTCACCTGTGGGTGGTGTCGGAAACTGTGGATTACCAGACGTGGAGATAAGCACAGCTTAGGAAACATGAGAACATTGGATGGACAGGCAGCGAGCATGAACAGACTAGCTGCGTCATTATCTCCCTGACAGAGACATTTGTGTTCACAAATTTTAGACATTTATACACAACATGCATATTGAACTATTATTTACATTATTTAGTGTCAGGCTAAATACTGTAAATAAAAGAACAAGTAAATTCATAGCTTGTAGCTTATTTTTGAAAGAAAACAATATATCAAAAAAATATTTTTGTACATTATAACAGTTCAAATGGCACATAACCATTATTTATAAAAAAATATATTTATAAGCAATCCCCAGCATTTAATGCAATCTAAAAACATACAAAACATGCATAAAATGATCTACAAATAAATGTACACAAATAGCTTTTTATTGTGTAAAATTAAAAATGAAGGGAAAAATACAATGTTAAAAAGCCGACTGTACAAATCCTAGATGAAAATTGACACAAAATATAAACACTGAAGTTTTCTTTTCTTTACTACAAATTGAGAACATTAATAAATAAGTACAAAATCTATGTTTTTTTTTAAAAAAAAAAATAGTTTATTATATAGGGAAGTAAAATGACAGAAAAATTAAATGTTCAAAACCTGATGATATGCATACATGCAGTTTATAAATTAATGCACATATTATGTTTCCTAAACTGAAAAGCAGTTTAGGAAATAGTTAGTTGGTAAAATCCCTTGAACATTCATAAATTGTATACAATAAATAAATAAATTTGTCAATGAATCTTATTTCCGAGTTTTTAGGACAGCTCCTGAACGCATCTTGAGTGCAGATGCTGCAGAGCGGGGAGTGGCGAAGTTTTAAAACTCCTGGGAGTCTGATGACAGTGAAGGAGCCTCCCATTTGTTTTTATTTTTTTTATACATATCAATCACTGTTGAAACTTGGAGGAGAGGATCATAGAGGGATCTCTGAAGGATCTCCGGTAGGTTCAAGCTTATCGGCCTCACTTAACTTCGGTTAGTTTCATCCGTCTCAGAGCGGTTAATGGTTTTAAACGCCAACGTCAAATACGTCCACCGACGATCTTTAAGGAGCTTCTAAGTTTGCGCGAGCGCGTTAGCTAAAACGTACTAACGGCTATTTCCAGAGCTCACTTTAACACAATAAAGAGGATTCATAGCTGCAGTTTAATGTATTTATTTGTTAAATTTACGAACAAATTTCAGAGATGTCACTGTCAAAGTAAAATACAGTGGTAACTGTACAGAAAGTGTGTGATAAAATGCTGTGTAATTATGACAGTCGCTATCGGATGGATTTTAAGCTTCATTCATTCTGGTTTTTGTCTTATGAACTAATTTCTGCTAATGTACGAAGGAAACTTTTGTTAATAAATTTAAGCTATTTCCTCACTCGCTCCTTTCCATTCTTCAACTTTTGTTTCTGATGTATAGTAGATTTTCAGTTGTTTAGATGGATATCCCTCCCGACCCCACTGAGGGACAAGGGTGTTCAGAAAATGGATGGATGGATGGATAGATGGATATCTGTACATATGTACATTTTTTACAGGAGTGTAGTAACTACATTTACTCAGTTACATTATTTACTCAAAAGTAAGAATAGTTCTACACACCTTTTAGTTTTACGTGATTAATATTATTATGAAGTATTACTACTCTTGAGTACAATTTCTGGTTACTCTATCCATTGTCATTAATTGAATGACGAATAAGAACGTTTTAATCAGAAATGCACCACACACACACACACACACACACACACACACACACACACACACACACACACACACACACACACACACACACACACACACACACACATCTGCAATTTATGTTGAAGTGAGACCTCCTGTTTGAACACAATCTATGTTCTAATGTTATCTTCCGTCTGTTCGTTTTGATGTACCATTTGGAAATCATATATTTACACTAAACGCTACACTTTGTCACTGAAAGTAATTTAATCTTTTCTGACATACAGTATATACACATTACCTATAATAAATATTAGTTTCATAAGTTTTATAATGAAGAAATTTATTTGGAAAACAACGATTCTGCTTGAATTTGGTATTTTGTTATTTTATAAAAAATGTAGGTCTTTAAAATATCAGAATTTACATACAATATTAAACTTTTGACTGTTGGATAACATAATTTTATATATAAAATCAGATGTTATGACTACTCAGCTACTTTTTTTTTTTTTTTTTTTTTTTTTTTTTTTACCAAATACTTTGTTTTTAACCGTTACTTGAATAAGTTCTTGGAAGACTTCTTTTTACTTTTGCTTGAGTAAAATACGCTGAAGTAGTCCTGCTACTATTTAAGTACAGTTTTTGGTTGCCTTTTAGAAAACTTGGGACAGAGGTTCAGTTTCCAACAGGATAACAACAGGATAATATCCAGAAGCCAAAGCCATAATTGAATGGTTCAGATCAAATTATGTTCATGTGCTGGAATGGTCCAGTCAAAGTACAAACCTAACCTCAATTGCACTCTGCAAAAACACAAAATCTTTTAGTGTTTTTGGTCTAGTTTCTAGTGTAAATATCTTAGCACAAAGCTAACTTAGAAGTTACTTTTCAGCAAGACATAGGTGCTTGTTTTAAGTCAATAATTCCTCAATATTGATTAAAAAAAGTACTAATTCCATTGGCAGATTATTTTACTTATAACAAGACATTTTTCCCATGTTATAAGTGAAATAATCTGCCAATGGGACTAGTACTTTTTCATCAAAATTAAGGAATTATTAACTTAAAACAGGTACGTATAATCTTACTTGTAAGATCGTTTTCTCTTATTTCAAGTGTACTAAGATATTTACTAGAAACTAGATAAAAAATCAGTGGTAAGACTTTCTGTTTTTGCAGTCCATCGTTCTGAAGGTTGGATCTCAGAGATAAAAAAATGTTTGCTAAAATAATGGTGTTAAGCTGTGCTCAATGAACAGCGTCCATCCAGACACATCAGTTGTTGTGGACCGGTGGGAGATATACTACATGTTTGTTTTTTTAGTTTGTGCAAGATAATGCATTTTAGTTTCTTTTTGGTCTCTTATTTGAATAACGCTGCCCCATTATGCAGTTCTGCCTTCTCCACCACAGGCATTTAAAAGAGACATGCAAGATCCTGTTGCAAATTTTGGCAGAAATGGTCTTCCTCAGTGGGTAAACTTCAGGAACAGACAACTGTTTGTGTATCTAAACTCGTAATCAGTCCACCAATTGCATGGCAAAAATCTTTAGCAAGAAGATCTGAGAGATCCTGAATGTTTCAAGATGCTTTTAGCAGTTTGAAACATATGATATCCATTTACTGATCACAAACTGAGTGAAAATATATTGATAATAGCAGAGGTTAGAGAAGAGTAAACAAGCTGTGCAGGAGCGATCTTGTCTAGGCCTGTCGGAATAAGCAATAAATGTATTAATCACACGATAAACTAAAACAAACCCAGTAATTTACATTATTTATCGTTTCTCTTTTTTCTCTCTTTGTACCAAAAACTGCACGATAAAAGTCTTCAGTCTGGTTCTTTGGTCTCAATTAGACCTTTTCTTGAAGGACAATTTTGTTTACTTCATGATTAATTTTTTTTGTTGTTTCTGTTGTTTTGTTTATTTATTTTGGATATTTAAAATATCTTTCAGTTCCAGTGTTCATGAGAAAATTACAAAAAGGATCAGTTTGGAAAAGGAAGCACGCAGAAACAAATGTTATTTTTCAGTTATTTTTCCTTGTGGTATTCCCTCATTTTCCTTCATCACTTTCTTCCCCATGAATCTTATTCCTTTGTGTCGTTTTGTTCTTTCTTGTCTTCTTGCTTCCTCTTTATTTATTTGTCATTTCTTCTTTTTCTGATTTCTTCCTCTTTTTTTGTTGCCACCTTGTTCCCATTTGTTCTTCCATTCTTTATGTCCTTAATTCTTTCCTCATGTACATACTTTCATCTTTCCACCCTTCCTATCTTTTGTGTCGCTCCTTTTCCCCTCTTTTATCTTATTTCTTCTGCCTTTTCTTCCTCATTTTCTTTCTTGTATAATTTTTTTTGTCTTAGATTCATTATGATCTTGAGCCTTTCTTTCTTTCCTTTCATTCTTTTATCAATTCTCTTTTCCCATGCTTTTCTGCTCACTGAATAAATATGAGCCATGAATTGAATATTTGTATTTTATAAAGTGTGAAAAGGAGTTTAAATTATGAACTTTTAAGTCTGGAGATTTATTCTTTCTTCAGAATGTAGCTGAGTTTTTTAGCCAAAAAATAAAATGTAATTTTTTTCTTCAATTCAATTTTTTTTTTCAAGTTAGCTGTGGAAACTGAATCTGTTCACATTTCACTCAAAATTTCAGCTGGTAAAAAAAACAGCTAAAACACTAGTCTATCATCAGAGTTGTTTTTAATTAATTTTCATATCTTACAGTAATGCATGAAATAAAAGTTAAATAATTATTCAAATTAGCATGAAAATGACCACAGTATTCCTGATGATAATGGCTTTAATGCAGGTTTATTAGTGTAAATGTATGCAGAGGTCACTGGTTTCTTAACGTTTATATTCTTCTCTTTATATGAACAATTCTCACTCACAAACCACTACAAACCCAAAAGCTTCCTGCTGAACTGTCTTTGTGTCGCTCCTGCAGGCAGGATGGAGGCCTGTATGATGAAGCCAGAGGTCAAAAAGAAGCCAAAACCGGTGAGAAAACCTGCAAACACAAAACACAATCAGTATGATCAGATTATATCTATTCAACATAAAAATGTTAAGCTGTGCTCAACGAACAGCGTCAGGTTATTATAGCTAACACAAACAAACAAAATAACTGAAATGTTTTTGTTACCGGAAATGTATAAAAATGGTAATTAATGGGGAAAAACTATAACTAACTGAAACTATGTTATGTGTTCATACAACTTACTAAAATATACTTGAATTGTAGATACATAGCCTCCATTTGCATGTTTATGAATCTATTTATCAGCCTTTTGAACTGATGTGACACAATTAGATTATGTTCAGCTGTTGGCAAATTACAGCACTCTGTAATCCTGCTGGCAGCGTTTACACTCGTCCGCAAAATGGCGACAGCATCAAAAACGCCAGAATCAGTTGTAGTTCAACAATAATTAAATAATTTTTTAAAATTGATGTGTTCTGTTGATATTTGTTACCCAGTCGTATACATAAACTCAAAACTATGACCTTTTTGAGTTCTGCACCTAAACATTAACCAAAGTATGAAAAAACTAAAATTACTACTATAACTAATAAAAACTAAACTAAAACTAAACAGTTTTTAACTGATAAGTTGTAAAAACTAGCAGACACACTCTAAAAAAATAATTAAAACGAACTAGACAAAAGTCACAACGAAATAAAATTAAACAACTGTAATGAAAAACCCAAAATTATCATAACCCTTCTTCCAACATGTCATCATGATTTTATGGAAATGTTAATTTAAGCTCTGCTTCTAATAGTAATTTTTAGATTGATCATATTTTTTTTTTTTTACAAATTGATTAGTATAAGCAGCCAATTTTCCTTCCAAGAAGGAATAACATTTTTTTTTATTCCCAAAAAAGAAGTTTTTGTAATATTTTTTTTCTCCAAAAAATAAGTTAAATAAATTATTGTAAGCTTGTTCTTTACAATAAGTCCAGACAATAAGTGTTGCTTACCACAATGTGAATTATAAACAAAGATTTGCACATAAAAGCATGAAATACATGCATAAAATGAAACCTTAGCTAGTATTTACAATATCAATTATAAACAAACTCTAATCTGTTGGTAGATTTAAGAAAATTAAAAAATAATAATTTTCATGTTTTAAATATTTGCATGTATATGTTAAAATAAATGATTCCATTTGTTGTTTTATTGACAGAGTTTTTACTGTTTTTAATGTGTTTGCTGAACCTTAAAGTGGATTGTTGTGTCTCTGCCAGCAGCTCGGCAGTTTAACTCATAACGTGTCACATTTCAGAGCAGAGATGAAATATCTCACACATGAAACCTCCTAAACATGCCATTGCCTCGCAGGCCTCATGTGGGAGTGAGACAAACAAATCCTGGCTGACTAAACTAAAATAACCCAAACCGAACGGACAGGTTCCAGCTGTTTGTGGAGAAGGGATGTTCCACATTCCCAGAGTCATGCATGTCCCTGCGCACCTGATCACCCTTTAAAACATGAACACCGTTTCTCTTTTTGTCCTGTTGTTCCTCTAGTGTACAGAGTTCACCGTTATTTTAAATGTTTATCCGTAGCTGGCTTTTCATTTCATTTCATTCACTCAGTAATAAATATGAATAGTTCATGGAACAAATAAAAGCACAGTGAATGAAAAGGAGCAGAAAGAAGTATGAAGTATATCTGACCTATATTCACATAAAAATTCAGCTCAGAAGACAATTAAACATATTTAAAATAAAAAATAACAAAAAATACAAAATAAAACATCAGTTTATCCAGTGGCTTACTGCTTCATCATAATGATTTTTCATTTTTTTAAATGCAGAAAGAGACTTAGATGTTTTATCTCACCCACACATTAACTAACGTCTTCAATTGAAATGAATTTTCCCATCGTTTTTGTTCTGAATTTATTTATTTTTTCCTTTTCAGCTGCTTTTAGTTTCTCTTTTTACAAATCTGATATGAACATTGGTAAAAAATATTAGATGCACTTGTACAGTATGAATTTATGAACTTTAACTGTATAAATATTTTGGGTTGTGACTCTTTTTGTTTGAAGACAGAGGGATGGGATCTGGGAATCTTTTAAATCAAACTGACAAAACTCATTCAGTGCCTTTTTGTTTCCCGCAGCCCAAACCTCCTCCAAAGCCCACAGAGGTAGTGCAATAAACTCAAGTCTTTCATTAACTTGTAATAAAGTCATTCCTGTGTTTTTAAGGTGCCATAAATGGGCTTTAAAATGAATTCCAGCATGTTAAGACGCTGAAACTTTGTTTTCAGGTAAAAAGAAACGAGGCAGAGAGAGATGTGAAGCCAGCTCCGTTGATGCCTCCTCGACCCAAAGATGCTGTGAGTTCAAAGTTTTACTAAAAGCTACAAAACATTCATATAAGCTTGTGTTTATCTTAATTCTGCTTTATTAATGTTATTAAGTATTAATTGAGTTGAATCTAAAACTAATCAAGCCTAAGAGGGGGTTTTATGAACTTGCCTGTCAAATTCAATTCTTCTTCAGAAAAAAGAATGTTAACTTCAACAACAATACATGTTTTATTTTGTTGTTACGTCCTGATTTCAGTTTTTATGCAAAAGAGCAGTGGACTCAACCGACACATCTGGGAAAAGCATCTTCTGTAAAATTAAACTCGACTTACAGAGCTGACAATCTATTAAAATATTTAATCACAATTCATCATGTTTTTCATAGTTAACTCAGTAATTCTCAAACACATTAGAGATTGTTTTTTCCTTTTTACATTTTTCTTAACAATAAAAACAGGAAGTTTTTGACATAGATTGTTTTAAAAAAAGCAGTCATGTCAGAAGACTTGCTGTTTCTGTTGTGAAGTGGTTTGTTCCACTAGTAACAGTGACCTACTTCCTGATGACAACTTGCCAGTAACAAGTTAGTCCGGCTTTTAAGCAGACACCACTTTTTAAATCTTATTGCTCATAATATTAATTAAACTTGATAAGATAAAAATCCAGAGGCTTGATTTGTCATGAAGACTGTAATTTCTTTATAATTTCTCTGTGAAACAGTCAACAGTTTAAGAGAGTTTTTTCTTTTCGTCTCATGCGAATGTTTCAGATTGTAACGATAAATAAGATAAAGACAACCGCAGTAAACATTACAGGAAGTTTTTTAAATTACGGTTTATTTATAAAGGGAAAAACGCAACATAAACCAACCCGACCCTGTGTGGAAAAGTAATCCTTCTGCCTTGTAAGTTGATGAAATTTGCTCACTTTAATCTGTGTTTTTAACAGCCAAAAGACTTCAGATCCACCAGTGACAAAAGTGAAATTATATTAAATTTTTTCACAAATATTTAAGTATTTTCTTTTCTCTTCTTTTTTTTAAATTAGTGATTAAACTCTTCCTACAGAAGTGTAATTCCTTACAAAATAATGACCATTTAGAGGATTAGATTTGTAAATAATGCTTTTAAAAGAACAAAATGAGTTGCGATTTGGTTTAAAGATGCTTAACAAAGTTAGAATTAAAGTTAAAATGTTTAAAATTCTCCAACTTGGATTATGAATTGACTTATTTATTTTTTATCTACAGGAGCTGATTCACACACAGTACAGAATGAAAAAATCAGCAGCTTTAAACAGCGAGGTATTAATTTTACAATGCATTCTACCAGGTGATGGTGGCATTTTTATTTTTAAAATAAAATAACATATTGAAAAAAAGAGAAGAGAATATTGTGTTAAAACTGTTGAGACGCACTGATATAGTCTAAAAATGTCCTATATTTATGTATTTCATTGAGTTTAATTCTAGGTATAATCATGTAAAACTAATCGAATGCTGCTAAATATTTAGACCTGGATATTTATTATCAGTTTAAATAATTATAAAAACATATGGATATAAATGAAGAGTGAACACTGAAGAATAGAGCATTTAAAGTTTTCTATTAAATGTGATGCAAATTGTAATTTTTGGTGACAAACATTTATTCCGATTTAAATAAAATGTGCTTTATGAGAACCTTATTGCTGATCATTTTGAAGGAAGTTTTCTTGTTGAAAACTCAGACGTTTATACGTTTTTGCGCTCCTGACAGTTAAAATGAACGTGAAGTGAAAGTGAAGTCTCCAAAAACCCACAAGTTACTCTATCGTCACAGGTGGGCAAGGAGAAATTATTTGTCTCAAACAGAGATCAACTTCTCATCGTTAAAGAAATGAGAATTTTGTAGTTTAGACACCAGAACAGAGAACAGGTAAAAGAAGCTCATGGACGTAGGCATGTCTTGGTTTGGCTTTGCTTTGCTGCAACAGAATTTTATGATGCTTTTCCACTCAGTATCATAAAATTCACCATGTACACGGTGCCCGCAGATCCTTATAAAGTCTTTTATTTGGCATTAAAATGTCTTAAATTCTTTTTAAAGAAGTAAGTTGGTCTTAAACATCTTAATCACAGGTCTTAAATTTTGTCTTTGTAGGATTATTTAATTGTATAAACTACGTACTTCTTTTTTCTCGTGGGACTTTTCCATCAGGCAGAAGGTTGAGTCACATGTAGACATCCTCACTGCGTTCTGTAACTCACTACTAACATACCGTTGCTAACTAGCTAACTAGCATTTTTTTTTGCCAGGTGGCTGGATGAAGTTCATGCATTTCTTTGGAGATATAGTTCTTAAATTTCATTCATAATGCTCTTTAAAAGGTCTTTAAAAGTATTAAATTTGATTTGGTAGAAACCTGCAGAAACCCTGTCCTCAGTTGGAAAACGGATTTTTGTTTATATCTTTGATTTAAGAAAAAGTTAGTCAAAGAAATTTACCTGCTTCACGTCCCTTTTCAACCATAACAAAACAGGTTAGATACAATATGAGAATAAAATTTCTTATTAACTAAGTGAATATTTAATGGACTGTCCTGATTTCTTTCATAACTGTAGTCTTACTGTAATAATAATATTAATCTTGAACAATATCCAGCTGATTCTTTTTATCTTTGTTTTTTTATATTTTATTAGCCGAATGGGAACATCCAGCAACAACATACCAAACTAAAACCGTCTGAAACTGCTGCTGCTTCCCCGAGACTCGCAGAAAAGGTACAAAACAGTCGGTTCATTCTTAAAAACCAGCTTCACCACTTCAGATTTAGATGATTTTTATTTATATAAATATGATTCAGCGGTTTGGTGAAGGAGCTTCTCAAGGCTTCACATTTCTTCTATGTTTTATTTACCCTTCTTGTTTGTGCAGGAACCAAAAGCGGCAGCAAGGCCCGGTGAACCCAGAAAGGTACGGCTTTACTGCACAGAGCCGCATTTATATCAAATCCCATGATACACCTTGTTTATTTTAATGTTTTAAATAAAATGTCATCTTTCCCCTCAGACCTCCAGAGAAACTGACCAACCAGAAGCTGCTGCAGATGAAGCGGATTTCAAGCGGGTATTTACCTGCAGCTGCACTTCGCCAGCTCCCACCTGTTTTACAAACAGCATTCATAATGTCTGCGTCTGTCTTCTTCTTCTGTGCTTATTTTGGTAGAGCAATCAGTCCGGCCTGACGGGAATGTTTCGACGCAGCCAAAAAGAGAAAATGCCAACATTTACAGTAGGCAAAGCTCACTGATTTCCTGTCTGAGAATCAAAAAGACGACGTTGATTTATATAATCATTATGTTGTGTGAAAAATTGTCTAGATGAAAGCACTAAAATTAACTTTTAAGAAATAAAAGAAATCTGCTCAATACTGCACATGCAAGATTTTAAGCAACAAAGTCCTTTTGTTTTAGAAAATGAATTTTGTTGATGGAAAAACATTAGTAAGGGTATTGCACAATTGGATTATTAAAAGACAGTATTGTAATTTCAAAATTTAGAAGTAAATTGTTCTTTTTAGGCTAAGTGGGTCAGCTCTTTCTTTATTGGTCCGAGGTTAGCTGAGGTTCTGCTTACAATAAATTTAAGTGGAAAAGCAGAAACCTGGCTTATAAAAGATACTTTTTTTGTCTGCTTGAAAATCTCTCTGAAAAAACTATAATAAAAAAATGTCCATCTGGGTTTTTGCTTTCAGGCAGTAATTACTCATATTTCTGATTTATGGTCAGGGGCCAAAAACAAACTTTCAAAGGACTGCAAGTGGCCCCCGAGCCTCATTTTAATATAACCCTAGTTCTGTATGTTTACCTTTCCTGGCTTTCAGGCATTTTTGTACTTCTTGAACATATCTTTTAAACTTTATAAATTCCTCCACAGTATTTTCTTTTACTTTGGAGTAAAATAAGTATTTCACATAAGTAAGTATTTCAGAAAGTATTTCACATATGTTGAAAAAGCATCTAAAGTCTAAATAAAACCATTCATGACCAGTGGTGATTTTTGCATGAACGTTGCCCTGGAAAAGCCCCTCCTTCTGCTGCCTCCTAACCAATCAAAATACAGGAAATCTTTAAAATTCTGGGTTGGATCAAAATGTAGTTCAATCCTGCACAAAGCATGTAAAATTACCTCCGTATTCCCAGCCCACACATTATTAACTTCACGCATTAAAAAGGTTTTCAAAACCCAACCAACAAATAAATATGCTTAAAAAAATAAATAATTTATCAGGTGACTGTGGAATATCTCCCCACCCCATCCATCACCTGCTCTAATGTCGCCCTGGGCAACTGCCCATATCAAAAATCGCTACCGCTGATGACTCGGATCTGCTCCAGTTTGAAAATCATTGAGAGGCGGTTTAAAATATTTCCACGTTGCTGTAACCCAGAGCTTTCTGCTGGTGGAAACTTGACCGTCATGGGAAACCAGTTTCAGGCATCAGACCAGAAGGACAAACAGGTGTGGGTGTGTCGCTATGTGCACATGAATGTGACATAGCTGTGCATTCAGACATCCAGAGGCTCTGAGTCAGCAGTTTCAGGGTATGTTGTAATAACCTGTCCAGTTACAGAGACTGACCTGACGCAATAACCTCTTGAAAATTTACTAATTTAATAAACAAGCTCAGTAATTTCCATTTGCATGATTGTGTTTTTCTCATGTCTTTCTTTCTTTCTATCAAAGACAAGATGACAAAAGTTTTCAGTCTAGTTCAGTGGTTTCAACTAGACCATGTTTTGAAGAGCAGTTTTGTTTACAGAGACTTCAGTGTCCATTTTATTTGTTGTTTTGTTTATTTATTTTGTATATTTAAATTGTCTTCCAGTCTCAGGGTTAAATACTCATTAGAAATTAAAGTTTATTAATCTTTGAGAATATGTTCTTGTGCTATTTTGCCATTATATTACTTAAAAATGATCTCAGAACATTATAATTTATTACAATAAGTAGCAGGACATTATTATGCAGCAAAGTCCTAATTCAGACTTGAACTATGTTTGTTTCCAGTCACAAAACAATGTAATTCATAAAAAGTTGCAAAATGTCATTATTTACAAACTTTCTACCATATGCAGGTACAACAGGTGTCTGATGCTTTTTTAAACTCAAAGATTAATTGTGCTACAGAAAAAAATTATAATTTTTACTCCCTGCCATTTTAACCACTTCTACCAAACAGAAGTTTCAACAAGTTGATGTTCTGGTATTTTTCTGGTATTTTTCTCTCCTCAGAGCTACGCGACTGACGACCAAGAGGAAAAATCAGATGACGTCCCAATCAAACATGCTCCCAGCAACAAACCGGTATGTGTGTGTGTGTGTGTTCGTTAATGTGTGTGTTGTCAGTCTGTTTGCGACGTGTGACTGTGGCCAGCAGGGCGTTCTGAAAGGAGTAATGAAAGGGCTGCAGTTCAAGTCACCAAAGGTACGATGCAGCATCTGGGGTTTCTGCTGGTGGTGGAAAAATGCTAAATGTTTTTTAGTGATGGTGGAGGGAACGGCTGACACTTTAACGCTGCTGGAATAAAACGAGAACAATCTGAATTCAACAAAGGTTAACTGGTGATGGGAATTTTAAAACATTAGGAGGTACAACAAGGAGCCGTTATCCAGTTGAGGTTCAAGTCCGGCATCATAAAACTGATTTATTGGGGAGGAATCCCAGGACCGACTCCAATCCAATCGTCACAGTACAAATCGTCTGAGGGATATTTACAAGGTTAAAAAAAGCAAATAAAAAATAAAAACTGTATAGCACAAAGTAAAAATGTTGAATTTCTAGATAATTAAAATAATTTTTCATCATTTCATGACTGCAGAGCTCAACTGAATCATTGTGATGATGCTTTGTTTGCAGTTTTATTAGGTTAACATTTCAGTCTTAAAAGATTCAAATTATTTGGAAATACTTTTTTCACAGTTGGTGATTCTCATAGTTTCTCTCTAAATGGTTTACCCTATTTGAAAATCCCAAAAAGATTTGTGATATTTACGTAAATATTGTCCTTTTATTTCAGTCATATGATCATGTTGACACATGTACATTTGTTTTCAAAGTAATTAAGTCAAATAATGTCTGAGGAACCTGACTGAGTCATTGAGCAGAGGCGTCAGCAAGAGGGGGGTTTTGGGTGGCAGTAGCCCATGCTGACGTTATGGCAGTTACTTTTAAATGATTTTTATTACGTGTTTATCTTAACTTATTGTGCAGAAAACAGCATAAAAACAAAACAATATGGTGCAAAAATAAACTCTAAACTAATTTGGTGCAACTGATGTTGAATTCACCACTTTGGGGTAGAATTAACTGTAATCCCACGTCACATAATTTATTTATAAATATAGAAAAAGCACGCCCTCTATTATTTTCTACAAAACGATGCAGACTGGTGGCATCTGATCAATCCATTTCGAACTTGTACTAGTCAGGAACATTGGTGTTACTGAATAAAACATTCACGCAAATTCTGCTGCATCCTGGCTTTCTTCTGCGCTGCTGCTTTTTTTCTGCTTTATTTTAGTGCTACTTTTGGTGTAAAAAAGTAATTTCAAGTGGAAAGATGAGTTTTGGGGTTCAAATATATTTATATATAAAAGACATTTGCTAGTGACCTTTTATTGTATATTTAATTTATTTTGGTTTAGTAAGTAATATATTTGTTTCATAAATATCACACTTCCAGTGTGTGTTAAGCTGAAGAATGTAGTGGTTTTTTTTTAGATATAATTATTAATTTTCTAATAAACATTGGGATAAATTCAAATGTCTCATTTGTAAGAAAGTAAAGGTAAGTTAATTTGCATTGTCTTTTCTCTCCTGTTTTTGTTTTGTTTCATGTCTACTGGTTACGTTTAACTGGTGTTAATGGTGAGATGTGACTGGTGTGTTGTCACTTCTCAGGCCAGCAGAGAGCCCAGTCCCGAGCCCAGTGCAGAAGAAACCAGTTCAGAGAAGGAACAACTGGGAGACCAAAGCAAAGAGCAACACAATGCAGAACACAAACAGGTACAATCCAACACAGACCAGTTCTGCTTCCGCTCTTTCACAGTCTTCATGTCACAATCATGACAAATGAAGGGGAAGGAATGTCTTTTTAAAAACACATGACTGTAAAGAGATGCAGATCCCACTTCTTCTTTTTTTAAAGAACACAAATACTGACATTATCCTCAAATTGTTTTGTGCAGAAACATTAAATATAATTGTTCGTCTTATGTGGGTTTTAAACTTTTTATTCTCTGTGTTATCAGGAGAAAGGAGGCCTTCTCGCTGGAATGTTTCGCAAAACACCCAAGGAGAAATCCTCTCCTACCCTGAAGGTAACAGCAAAACTCAGAGACAAAAATGGGTAATGAATGCCAAAATATAGCCTGATTAGCATTATAATGACAACATTTACTCAAACATTTCACTGTGAAGTCTATTTCTTTAAGTTTAAGAATATACATCACATTATAAGTAATGTAAAAAGTTACATCTTCCCAGTTTTGTTTCTCCTTCTTATAAACTATTTTATTCATCCTCAGGTCAGCAAAGCAGAAAGTGATTCTGAAGATGTGGAGAAAGAGGAAGAGGAGAAAACATCTGAACCATCCCACGTAAGCACAAGTTCAATTACTGTAGCAAGATGTTTTATAAAGCATTTTATCGCTTCATTAAGTTAATTCATGAAAAAAGCCCAGAGGTATTTATTGGTAAAATACAAGGAGCCCCAACATGTGTTTGAGGAAGGATCACTGTGGGAATGTGCTAAAATGTGACGACTACGATTAAGACACACGGTGGTTTATCTAATGTTTTAAACATGCAGAAGGCAGCAGGGAAATGTTCAGTCCTGACAGTCTGACAGCTTTATTATCTCCTCCCTCTGAAAGAAATCTTCCACATTCCTGACACTTTTTAACGAGTTCAGAAGGTTATATAAAGTTGAGTATGATTTTATTCTGAAGTGAAGACAGAAAACAATCGTGTTTAATATGTTTCAATCAGAATTTTTGCTTGTTTTATTTGCAAAAATTTGACTAATTCAACAACCTATATATATATATATATATATATATATATATATATATATATATATATATATATATATATATATATATATATATATATATATATATATATATTAGCATTTCAGCTTGTTTTACTTTGTTTGGAAAATGAAATGGTAAATCTGTTAGTTTCTTAAAAATCCTGTTTCTTTACAGGAAAAAGGTGGTTTCTTTTCTGGCATCTTAAAGAAATCGACCAAACCAGCTGATGAGACGTCCGCACAGGTAAATAAAAGTTTACCTTAGGTTTTGATTAAGCAAATAACGTATCTATTTGTGAAAAAGCTTTTAAATTATTTATCTAAGTGTGTTCCTGTGTTGCTGTAGGAGAATCTGAGTGATCACATGGATTTGTCTGCCAGCAGCGACAGTCTGTCTGACACCAAGGTGAGCAGGTTGATGTGGACAAACTGCATCAGCAGCAGGCAGAGTTAATATTATTATGCATTTACTGTGATTTAGGAAAAAGGAGGAATTTTCAGCGGGATATTCAGGAAATCACCGAAGCCAGCAGAAACAGACCAGGTAGGAATCTTATTATGTTTTAATAAATTCTAATTAATTTAATTTAATGAAGACAGATAAAAATCACCTGGAAAAAAAAAATCAAAACAGGAAACGTAAATGTTATAAAACAAGAACCAGTCCTAGAGGTTTGACTCAGTTTTATACAAAACAAATGAAAATAAAATTACATCAGTGGTTCAGACATGAGCTGCATTTGCAAAGCAGCCAAACAAAACTCATATCCTGGACTTTTTGTTGTCTAAATCACTTTATTTTATCTTTTTTTTTTTTACTTGCAGACATTTGTTTATATTGTTTTTAGATATTATTATTTTCACTTTGTTGTATTTTGTTACGCTGCTATGCTGCTGTAACAATAAATTTCCCCACTACGGGACTGATTTGTGCCTGATGTGGTACTAAATTGGACACATATTTGCTTGTTTTCAAAGCGTCTGCATTCATGTCACATTTTACTGAACTTTTACTTCGTTAATGTGAGACATACGTGTCATAATTGTGCACCAGAAGAAGCCAAACGTGGTAAATCTGGATGTAGACGATCTCCTAAAAAAGGAGTCTATGTCAGTGAAACCTTTGAGCAACCGTCTGCTTACAAGTTTTAAAGTAAAGGAAATATTCTGTTGTTTAAATTCTTAAAACCAAACGTGTAAATTAAGTCAATGCTGATCTTCTTGGTCATTTATTATAAAACCTCCTGATCTCATGTTGCTACTGTTTTGTTTTTAAAAGTTTAGTTTTTCTCAGTGGATTTTATTGACTGATTCATCATCAACCAGTTCTGTGGTTTGTTTTTATTATTTTATTTGCTTTCTGCAGTCCGACTTGTCAAAGAGCAACAAGAATCTTTCTGAAAACAGCAACGTCAAAGTAAGAACGCTTCAGAGTTTGGATTCAACATCACTGCAGGCGCTTCTCTGATTCATTTCAGAAGAGAGAATCAGACATTCAGCAAATACACATTTTTAGATTTCAACCACTTAATCATTTTTGATAAAAATTAAATTATTTCTGAATTATTTATCTGAGTATGTTCCTTGTCCGTACATATGCTACAGCAGCATATGCTTGGATAAGCAATAACCTTTTGTGGCTTTTCTGTTTTAGGTGTGTTTGTGACTCATTTGAATTAAAAAAATACAAAGTTTTGTTTTAATTTCATGTAATAATGTGATGTTACTGAGAAGCTGAAGTTTGGAGTTTCATTAGTTGTGAACCATAATTATCAAACCTTGACCTGTAAATTGGTGTCTAATGAATTTATGACAACCAAAAACACATTTTAGTGACATTTTCATCTTTTCCAGCCATGTCCTGTATATTGAATTACATTTAAGGTATAAAATCTGAAAAAAGTGACTTTTTTTCATTAGGAGAAAGGAAATGTGTTCAGTGGGATGTTTAGACGATCTCCAAAACCATCTGAAGGGTCGCAGTTGGAGGAGGCAAGACGTTTTTGTTTTTCAGACACCAACATTTTAAAGGTTTTCAGTTCACGGCTTTAGTTTTTATTGTTCAAATGTGTTCAAAGAGAGTCCAGAAACGTCGTTATCTACTTGCTTTAAAACTCAAGATGTTTTTGTCACAGCACATCACAGCAGCACAGGTAAACATGTTCTGGTAACTTCCTGGTTTTCTGTAACGTCTGTCCTTCGGTTCAGGGTGACGAGTCGTTACACGGCGAACTCTCTGCCAGCAGCGACAGCCTGACGGAGAACAAGGTGAGTCTTTCATGGCAGATCTGACAGATAAAACAGGATGAGTCATGTGATAAACATGAGAACAGGTCTGAACCTGTGTGGGTGTCGCTCTGTTGACTGAGGAAAATGTTTCCAGGAAACTCTGACTATAAGATACTGTTTTGTTGTTTCTCTGAAGGAGAAAAGCAGCTTTTTTGACCTTCTCAGAAAAAACCCGAAACCAGCAGGAGAGGTAACGTTCCCTGCATTATTTATCAAAAAAGAAAAAACTCCATCCACACAAAAACACGTTCTCTTCTGTTATATTTGACAGAGCTGGGCAAAGTACGCAAACATTTTACTCAAGTAAGAGTAAAGTACGACAGTAAAAATACTCCTAAAAGTACTTTTTTCTAGAATGTTACTCAAGTAAATGTAACTGAGTAAATGTAACTAGTTACTACCCAACTCTTAATATTTGTTTGTGATTTAATAAATTCTGATCAGCTTTATGTGACCCCAAGACTTTTTAATTACAGAAATTATTACAGAAATATCAACAAAAACAAAAATAAATGTTGGGAAAAGAAAAACTAAACAGCTGTGTTTTATAGGAACACACAGAAACAGATGTGCTGTTATGACAGCATGTCTGTGCTGTCAGGAACAGAACAGTACAACACCACTCCGTGAAACAAATTTCCAGTGAACCTTTAGACTGTATCACAGTTTTTCATTAGTAAACACACGATTATATCTCGTAAACCCTGGATTTAAAAAAATCAGTGACGCAAAAACAATTATATTGAACTGAAGAGAAGAAAAGCCACATCTGTTTAACAACAAACGTAATTTCTTTTATAAACCAGTTGTAATTGTTTCTGACGTTATTAACGGCTCAGCAGTTTAGAAAAAGGACTGAGTTTGAAAAAGTCACTACTGCTCTAAATATCTTGCAAATATTGCAGATGTTTGTTTAAAATTATTCAACACCTAATCTATGGTAAGTGAAGAAGCTCGAGCTCCACAGTGCTACTGTTTTCTCCTAATCTCTATTTATTTAATTTAATAATTTGGTCAGCATGCAAGTCGAGAACATTTGCTCTGTTGTTTCTTCTCATTCTGATTCAGTTGATCTGGATTTTAATGCTTTGCTGGATTTTCGTTGAACTTGTCTGTTTTGTTGCAGGAGAATCTGGCAGCACACAGAGACGTTTCAGGAAGCAGCGACAGTCTGTCTGAAGCTGCCAGCAAAAAGGTCAGAATGGCTCATCATTTCATTAAAATGTTTTAAATTCTTTTATTTTTCCAGAGAGTTAAGATTTCTCATCATCTCTTCCATACTTTTGATGCAAACCAAACGGTGTCGTAATAACAGCTGGTGAATTTACAAAAGGATGCATTCAGACTCTCTTTGCTCATATTTTATACATTTGGCTGCTTGGATGAACTTTCTCTGCTTCTGATGATCATGCAGAAAATATTAGTGACAGAAGCCGAAGATCGTGAGAGTTGGTTAGAAATCAAGATAAAAGAAGAAATTAGTCACAATAATTTAGCAAATATTTAGAGCTTTGTGCTACTTTCTACAGACTCTATGCTAATGATGTTTTTTTTAGACTTGTACTTTGTTTTGTACTTTTGCATCAAGCCACCCTTTTTGTTTAGGATCAAAAAGTACCGTCCAGCTTGGCAGCGTTTCTCTTCTGGACTGGGTTTTGTTTTTGATTTTAAACATATTTAGAGGAAAACTTATAGGGAGTTAGAAATTAAAACGGAAGAATTTTGTATGTTTTCCAGGAAAAAGGGAAGTTGAAGAAATCCTCCGAAGACGACGCAGAGATTAGAGAGGTCAGCAGCTTCTCCTCTGTTCATCCGTTTCATTTCTATTCTGCTGATAATGGCTGGTAATGTTTCAGAATATGTTGTACCCACTGTGTTATGCTTTGTGGTCAAGGTAAAAATAATCCTGATGTCTCCATTGATTTTCAACTCATTTTATTGTTTTCCTCAGGAAAAAAAGACGCAGGATGATGATCTTTCCAGCAGTGAAGGTCCAAATGAAAACCCAGCCAAGGTGAGACATTTTGGATTTGATTTGTTTTCATTTTTGGTCTTAATGTTGCACATGGAGCGATAAACTAGGTAGAATGTAGCCGCTTCATTCTGTTAAATGGGTTATTTCTCTGTTTTTTCTTAAACAGTATTCTAAATTGTTGGTGGCTTTTTTGTTGTTGTTTGAACCGATTTTTATATAAGAATCCAGCAATGACGCTAAACGTTATAACGCCATTTCCCTTCCCAAATATTCCATCTGCCTCATCGGCATTATCCCAGTTAAACACTCAAACTCTGAATTACTGCTGAGTTATCGATGAATGATGTTGTTTTGCTGTTTTTACTAAAACCTTGTTACAGGAAAAAGGTCGAATATTTGGGGGAATGTTCAAGAAGCCTCCCAAAGCCGTCCAGTCGGAGGAGGTGAGGTCCAATCCTCACCTTCAAACGTTTTTGTTTTAGTATACTGCTGTTGAGTTTCCTTTTGACAATTTAATTCATAAATGTTTCTTGTTTTCCCTTTTTTTGTGCGTTTCTTAGTTTTTTTTTTTCTTCCTTGCTTACTTTTTGGCTCAGTTTTTCTCTTTGCTTCCTTTCCTTCTTTCTTTCTGTCTTCCTTTCTTCCTTGCTTTTTCCTTCTACAGTTAATCCATCAAATCAACATTTTTCCACTCTTACTGATTCACTCCAGGGTACCGTGACTGTTGGTCTGAACGTCTCTGGTTTTTGTTTCCAGGATGCTGTTTCTGACTCTGATGTTTCGGACAGCACTGAGAACTTATCTTACAACAAACAGGTCAGTGAGGAAAAACCCAGAAAACACACCAAACTGTCCTCCTGGTTTATCCTCAAGCTTTTATTCTGACGTTTCATCAGGAGAAAGGTGGAGGTTTGTTCAGTGGGCTCCTCAAAAAGACGCCCAAAGGAGAAAAGACTGAGACTCCAGTAAGCAGTTGCTGTCCAGTGTTTTAGAAAGTATTATAAAAAGTATATAAAAGCTTTTAAACGACTTTCTGCTTCAGGACAGAGAGGCTCAGCGAGAGCTGACAGCCAGCTGTGAAGACCTGGCTGAGAATAACAAGGTCTGGATCTCAACACCTTCAGTTCCCTCATATCACAACATTTACTGACTTTCTGTGTCATATTTGTAGGAGAAAAACATTTTCAGCAACATGTTTAAGAAAACACCGAAGCCAGCAGCAGAGGGCGCTAAAGCACAGACAGAGGTACTGCAGCTTCCTCACATATGAAACAAAACTCCTGATTCTGGGTTTTTCTTCACCGTTTTCTGCTTCTGACTGCAGGACCTGGACACTGACAGACGATTATCCGCCAGCAGTGAGAACCTGACCGACCCGACCGGCCCAAAGGTTTCCATTCATTTCATGAAACGGCTCGTTTTTTAACGAGAACATGAGCTGAAACCTGCCGACAAAGAGGAGCTGAAAACGCTTCTTCATTCTGGACAAAAACTAAAAATTATTGCAGTTTTCTTTAAGCTTTACACGTAACATATGTTTAATACACTGACAAACTAAATTATAAGTAACATTTTAGCTAAAAATGGAGGTTTGTTTTAAGTGATCAATTCCTTAATATTGATGAAAAAGATTATTTTTCTTATAACAAGACATTTTTCAATGTTATAAGTTAATTTATCTGCCAAAGGAACTAGTATTTTTTTAACAAATATATTAAGGAATTACAAGCCTCTATTTCTTGCTGAAAAGTTACTTTTAAGTTAGTTTCTTATTTTGAAGTTTAAAAATTTAAAAATTACTTGGTAAGATTTTGTGTTTTTGCAGTGTTTTTTGTGTTATTTGAGTTTTGTACATTTAGACGAGCGTTTTTCTACAATATGTTTTATGAGATTTATGACTTAAATCTCATAATTATGACATAAATTATGAGTAACTTTAAGCTACCTTAAATACTAAATAAATAAATTATTGTAACGTGGATCAGACCAGCTGCTGCTAAAGTTGATTTAATATCCTGAGACAATTCAGTGCCGTATTGGTGGATTAATAAATGTGTTAATGTTGCTCTTTCACCTCCTATGAACATAAACATGAATATGGGACAAATTAATCCAATTAATTGTTTCAGCCATAGTTTAAGTTATAGCAAATAGTTGAAATTGGAGAGTAGTAGGAGAAAGTCATCAGTTTGTCCTCCAGCAGCCTGAATATGTAGCTACAGTGACCACTGATTATTGGTTCATATTCAGTCCAATTTCAGTTTTTCATCAAATTAATAGATAAAAATCCTGTTTGTGTGACTCCAGGAGAAAAAAGGAGGCCTGGCTGGAATATTCAAAAGATCTTCAAGCTTTGACAACCTGCTAGACGAGGTCAGTCCGGTTGGTTCTGCACTCCAAACGAACTCCTTCTTTAATCCATTCAAAACTAATCAATGTGTTTTTCCTCCAAAGTTTGAAAATCAAATAAGTTTCGCTTTGTATCCACCGCCTGTCTAACACTTCTAGATCCGGTTGTTTTTTCTATTTTTAGGACAAAAATATTTTCAGTGGCATGTTTAAGAGAAGTGCGAAGCCGGCAGAGGAGGTAGAATAAAAACTCTGCTGAACATTTTTGTTTTATTCTTTATCCAGGTTTTAATCTCTGTTGTGTCTTCAGGGGTCAAACGCGACGGGCGAAAACACAACGTTGTCTGGCAGCACTGAAGATCTGCTGGAGGCAAACCCAACAAAAGTAAAAGAAAATTTAATCGAAATGAACATTTTGACTTAATTTAGTTTCTCATCTCAAATATTTACTTTATTTTTATGGGATTATCTGTTGCAGGAGAAAACGGGAGGACTTACAGGGTTCTTTAAAAGGTCGCCCAAACCGTCTCCGCGCTCGGTTGCTACTGAGGTGATGAAACCACTTAATGCATCAAAAGTGTTTATTTTATTCCTGAAATCTAAACTGTTCATCTCTGCTGTCCAACATGTTTATTTTTCTTTAAAGCAGACAGAAAATGTTACTTTAAGCTCAACGGTCAAACAAATCCTGCCAATCTGAAGTCAGATTTATGTCCGGTTGATGTTTCAATAAGCTTTAGGAAGAGGCAATGATTTTCATTTTATGACAACAGTTTGTTTAGTTTTGATAAATTAATAATATTTCGATGGTTAGCATCAACTTTGGCAGGTAATAAAACTCAAAACATCCATCCACACTGCAAAAACACAAAATTCTAGCAAGTAATTTTGGTTTAGTTTCTAGAGCAAATATTTTAGTAATCTTAAAATAAGAGAAAACAAACTTACAAGTAACTTTTCAGCAAGATATAGGAGCTTGTTTTAAGTAAATGAAAAAATGTAATTTCTATTGGCAGATTATATCATTTATAACATGGGAAAATATCTTGTTATAAGTGAAATAATCTGCCAATAGAACTAGAACTTTTTCATCAATGTTAAGAAGTTATTAAGTCTAAAAAATCTCCTATAATTTGGTGAAAAGTTACTTGTAAGTTCGTTTTGTCTCATTTTGAGTTTACTAAATTATTTGCACCAGAAACTAAAGTAAAATTATTTGCTGTAATTTTGTGTTTTTTGCAGCGCAAACATCAGTTACAGCATATTATATAAAAGCTCTTTAACTGCTGAAGCGATGTGGAAATTGAGTGTTGAAATGATTTTTCTCTTTTCCAGGATCCGCTGACCAAGCAGCTGTCGGCCAGCTGGGACAGCCTGACTGAGGCCGGGAACGTAAGAGCAAAAACCTAAAACCTTTGATTAGAGGTTTAACGATTAACAATCCTTCTAGTCTTTTCTGCACCTGGAGTTAAACACTGTAGCATCACTAAACCGATAACATGAGCAAAACGTACAGCTTTATTTTCTTGGTCTGTTCAGATCTAAGGGTCTAAATGAGTTTAAATCCAAACATTTAAACCAGAGTTCAAATATTTTGATGAAAACTGTATTTTATGTTTGTTTGTCCAAATATGTGGGTATAATCTCAAGGTTTTGTCCATATTGTATCGTTTTGTTTGAATTGTAATTAAAATGATGAAACGTTTCTTTTTAAAGGACGACCGCGCCGCTCAACGAGAACTGTCAGGCAGTACAGATAATCTTTGTGACACCGCCAAGGTAAATCCCTCAGATTTCATGTCCTTTCTTCCCTCTTAATTTAAATGAAACCTTCATAATGTTTATGAAACAGGAGAAAAAAGCCGGGCTGTCCGGGATGTTCAGACGAACGCCTAGAAATACGGAGCAGCAGGTAAAAACAAACCGATTCTATAACAAAATGTAAATATAAATATCCTGCTTCTGCTGGTAACAACGTAAATGTGAGGATTGAAACTAGTTCTTTAAATTAAACTATTTTAGTTTCAAATAATTAGATTCATTCCACATAGATTAATACATGGCTGTTCATGAGCCGTTCTGTCTAATTATATTAATGGTAAGTTGAGTGGAAGGAAAAACTGTGGTAGGAAAAGTTGTATAAACAATGTGGCAAACAGAGATAAAAACATTTAAGAGTTTTTATGCATTAAAATCCTTTATTGCTCTTAGACAGTATTTTTGTTTTTTTCATTAGCTATAAACCTTAATGATGAAATTAAAATAAATTTACACCTGAAATAAATCTCTGTGCAAAATTAATCTATATAAAACATTTAGGTTTTGACTTTATGTTGAAATTTGAGAATCTCCAGTTTGATTTTAATTGCAGAAAATAAAACAAAAACAAGTTCATATTGGATAAAATCATATATAAGTCTAAATAAACGCAGTTTTATGTTCCAGTTGCCTGATGACGTTTTTCTTTATTTGCTGGTTTGCAGGAAGGTGAAGACGTGGCGCCACCTGCTGGACGCGGACTGAGTCGCAAGAGAACCATAAAGAAGAAACGCAGAGCAAGTTATTTTTACTTTGTCATTTAAAAGTTGCAGAATAATAAACCGTGTTTGGAGTTATTTATAGTGGCGAAATGTAAAGTTTTATTTTGTTCTTGTTTGACAGGTTGTGTCTTTCCGAGTCAAGAAAACTCTTCCCAGAAAGTCTGCAGAGGTATTTTCTGCTTAATGGGGGATTTACATACGAACCTGACTTAATTTGTTACTTAAAACAGGTTAATTTATTTAACATTGTTTTATTTTTAACTATACAGAAATCCAGTGAAATACCTGTGATTGAGGAGAGCGTTGAGATGGAGGAGCTGAACACGCCACAGGTCAGGATAACTTCATTTCCATAAGTTATTTATAAAAAATTATTTTCTTATCTTTATTATAATATTTACATATAACTTCAGATCCTAGGCCTTTTCTTTAAAGGATTATTAATGCTAAAATCTTTTCCTTTTATGAGAAGAAGACATATTAGTGTGTTTTTCTGACTTAAAAATCCCCAGAAAACAAAAAAAGCTTGAACTATTTGTCTATCAGGAGAGCACGGTGTTGGTGGAGCCGGTGGAGATGGCAGCTTATCCCACTGAGGAAAGCCTGACCCAGATGGAGCAGGTGGGATTAAACCCAGAGTGTTTATAACTGGCCGGATTGTCTCCAGATTAACAGAAGGATCTGTGATTTCAGGAGAACAATGAGCTGATGGAGTGGTGGAACTCAGTGAAAGGTTGATATCAAAATTTATGTTATTTAAATTTAACATAAATTTGGTTCATGTTTGTTACTTGTTCTCTGACTGATGGATTTGTGCCGCTGGTTTCCAGGTTGGACCGAGTGGAGCGAGACCTCAAACTTCCAGGAGGAGGATGAACAAATGTAAGAACTTCAGAGGAAAAGGTTTATTTATTGGGGATTCAATTTCTAGACTTTATTCCTTGTCCCATTTTATAAAATGTTGCATTTCTCTGTCCATTCATAATTTTAATTTACAAAAGATGTCTGAACACAGCGGAGTATTAGGGCCACAATATTAAAATTTAAAAAATTAATAAAAATACATGAATAAACTCATTATATTACAAGAATAAAGTCACAAAATTACAGGAATAAAGTAAAACAAATTACCAAAATAAAGACAAAATATTTTGAGAATAAAAAAATAAAAAATAGGGGAATATAAAGTCTTAAAATTATAAGAATGGAGTAAAACAAGAGAATAAAGGTTATGACTGTTATGACTACTGTCATAGTTTTATTTTGTATTAGTTCTCAGTATGGCCCAAATACTCCGTCATATCTGAAGATGCTTCAAAAACAGATTCAGTTTATTTACTGAAATCTGTAAATCATTCAGTCCAATTCAAAGTGAACTGAATACATTTGGGGGTATTTTGTTGTTTTTAAAGATAAATTTAATTCTCCAGCAACAAATAACAGCCTCATAAAAATAAGATTAATATTTTTGATAAGCTAAATTAAGTCAAAATGTTCATTTTATTGGCAAAATAACAAAACAATGTGTCAAATCTGCAGTCTTTGATTCTGTAGAAACTCCTTTCTTTTTCATCCTGATTCTTTTGTTTTATTTTGTTTTTATTTTCTGTCTGCAGTGCGATGGAGCAGGCAGCCGATCGAGTCTACATGGCAGCCCGTGTTTTCGTTCACCTTTTCAACCAGCGGGGGGCGTCCTTGCAGCAACGCATCCTGGAGCTGCTGTTGATGGCCGACGCCGCAGACGAGTTCCACAAGAAGACGGTGACGGCCGCTGTGGGAGGGGGCGTGGCCAGCGTGGCGGGCAGCGTGGCGACCATCACCGGCCTCATCCTGGCTCCGTTCACCTTCGGGGCGTCGATCATCGTCACGGCGGTGGGGATCGGCGTGGCGACGGCCGGCAGCATCACGTCGGCGACGGCCAACATCACCGACACCGTGCACTCCAACATGGACCGCAAGAAGGTGGAGAAGATGATCCAGGGCTACCAGGAGGAGATCGAGGACATCAGGAAGTGCATGGAGTTCGTTCAGGTGAGGAAATTGTTTTAAAGCAACAAAACGGAAAAAACTATTCCCCTGAATAAGTGGTGGGAAAACTCAATTAAAAAGTCCATTAAAAACTCTTAAAAGACCTCCAGAAAAACGAATAGAGACCAGTTTAAACATTCACAAGCAAATCACTCAGCACGGTTTGTTCATTGAATTTCTGGACAAAAAAGCAATAGAAAGTAAACAAAATTAGAAAAATTTTAATGGTCAAAGCAAATGCAGAGTTTTATATTTTGGATCTTCTGGCTGAACTGGAAGTCATGACCTGAATTATGTTTTCACTTGGAAGTTAGAAACAGTCGAAGTCTCACATTAACAGCCACGTTTGGTATTTCTGTAAAATCGAACATCATTAGCTGCGTTTCTCTTACAAATGTGAGCAAATCTTTGTCGATATTCTGCTAATGTTGAATAAAAACAATTTCACAAATGTGGTGTGTTAATTAAATAAGGAATTAAATTAAAAATCACATCTGAATATGATGGTTGATGTGATAAGTCATTAAAATGGCAGCGACAAACGTAAACAGTTACATAAGATTAAGTTAATAATTCATCATAAGAGGAGAGGTTAGTGTTTATTCAGTTGATGGAGCCACAAACTGCTTATACTTTGGATGAACAAAGGGTGGTAGAAAGAGAAAAACTATAAATCATACAAAAGGAAATGATTGAGTTTGTTTTATGTGATTTATTGATTTATTGGTTATTGTGACAGGTGTACTTCTTCATGGTTTTCGCCAGTAGTCACATTTGGCTGTTGGTCACAAACTCGTGTGGTGTGAAAAAAGTGTTTCCATTACAGTTCTGCACAATAAATCTATTTAGATATGACTGGGAAAACAACACACCTCATCCTACACTGAAAAAACTCTTACCGATTATTTTGGTCTACTTTTTAATGCAAATAACTAACAAACAGACAAAACTAACTTACAAGTAACTCTTCAGCAAGAAACAATAATTCCTTAATATTGATGAAAACATTCCACTGGTAGATTATTTAACTTATAACACATTTTCCCCTGTTGTAATGAAGTAATCTGCCAGTGGAACTAATAATTTTCTCTGAATATTTAGGAATTATTGTTAAAGCAATCTCCTGTATTTTGCTGAAATACAAAATGACAAGAATACTTGGTAAGATTTTGTGTTTTTGCAGTGTAGCGCACAAACTTTTTATCAAAAAACATGAGTGTTTCCATTAAGATAATTCATTTTCATCATTTCAGTTTGCGCAGTTCTGTGCAGCTGATAATCGTCTGGTTTTGTCGCTTCCCGTTGTAGGAGGGAATGAACACCCTGGAGGAGTGGGATTTTGAGAAATACTCTGAAAGTGCCGCCAAAAAGGCTCTAAACCACAACATTAAACACGTGATGAAGGAGGGCGGCCGGGCGGGAAAAGCCCTGATGATCAACACCGATAAGCTCATCAGCACCGTTCAGGTTCTGGGCGCCGCCGGCGGCGCCGCTAAGGCCGTCCAGGCCGTCAGCGTCACCACGGGCGTCATGTCCGCCCTCTTCCTCGCCCTGGACATCTTCTTCCTCGCCAAAGACTCCCACAAACTCCACAAGGGAGCCAAAACCAAGTTCGCCGCCAAGATCCGGCAGGTGTGCAAAGACCTTCAGGAAGGCCTGCTGGAGCTGAACAAGGTGAAGACGCAGCTGCAGAAGACGATGGATGGCATCGAGGTGGAGGAGTACGAGGACATCGAGGAGGTGGAGGTGGAGGTGGAAGACGAGTTTGAGTCCGACCCGAAGAAACTGGCAGAGCTGGAGCAGGAGATCGACTTCATGGAGGAGAAACTGGACAAAAAGGAGAAGGAAGAAGAGGTGGAGCCGAAGAAGAGCAAAGAGACGACGGCGTTGGATATCTTTAAAATAAAGAAGGAGAGAAAGGAGGAGAAGAGCATGAAGGAAAAAGAAACAGAGGAAGAGGAGGAGGAAGAGGAGGAGGAACCAAAGAAGAGCAAAGAATCGATGTTGGACATTTTTAAAATAAAGAAAGAGAAAAAGGAAGAGAAGAGTGTGGAGAAAACAGGAGAAATGGAGGAGGAAAAGGGCGACGAGGAGCCAAAGAAGATCAAAGAATCGGTGTTGGACATTTTTAAAATGAAGAAAGAGAAAAAGGAAGAGAAGAGCGTGGAGAAAACTGGAGAAATGGAAGAAAAAATGGAGGACGAGGAGCCAAAGAAGAGCAAAGAATCGGTGTTGGACATTTTTAAAATGAAGAAAGAGAAAAAGGAAGAGAAGATCGAGAAGGAAAAAGATGTGGAGGAAAAAGACAAAGGTGAGAAAATATCTGAATCCAAATCTGA